GGGGACAGAGAAAGAGACAGAGGGACAGGGAGAGAGACAGGGGGACAGGGAGAAAATGTTGCCTGATGGACCAACCGAGAGGGAGCAGCCGTGAGGCTCCAAAGGTGACGGGGGAATGTGGGTGCTGGAGAGTGTGTCCCCCGGAGTCCCCCACTGATTGGAGGCCACTGGGGGGCAGAAGCAATGGATAGCCTAGAATTAGGATGGAATTAACCTGTGAGAAATCTGAACTTCTACCTTAGTGGGCGGGTTTCAGGCCCCATGAAGACACAGGGATTTTCCATTGTGTGACAAATGTCCCATGACCAGCCGAGGGAGGAACTGCTTCTGCTCGCCCCACCCTGCTGGTGTGGCTCTGTCCCCTCCATTCCACAGGCACATAGCTGACCCCCAGGTCTCCAGGCCCTGCGCTGGGCCCAGGAGACACAGAGATCAGGGAGGCGCAGGTTCAGCCTCAGAGTCCAGGTCGGGAGGGTCAAGACCCGGGTGGGGGCAGAGATGAGCACCAGCAGGCGCAGGCCAAGTCCATGGGCGCCCAAGGGAGGGGGTGTCCCTCCTGGTCTGCGGAAGCAGGAGGCCTTCCAGAAGAGCTAACCTTGCGAACAAAACCTGGTGGGGTTGGAGAGGTCAGGAGGGGCGTGGGGACAGTGTGGGCAAAGCTCCCAAGGTGGGCACGCCAGGAGGAGAGCGTGGAGACTGCCCACTTGGGCTCCTTTCATGGAAAAGAGTAGGTAGGAGGGAGGTTGTGGAAAACCCCAAGTGCTGCTAAGATGGTTGACTTTACTGTGTCGGAAAGGAGGGGCCATTAAATGACGTTGACCAGAGGGGTGATAAGAATGTGCCAGCTCAGAATCAGAGTGTCCAATCCTTTATTTAACTCACTGGTTGAACTGGAACGGGTCATCTGTGCCCTTTGGGCTCAGTTTTCTGTAAAATAGGGGCTGAAGCAGATTACTATTCTCTTCTGGAACCAAAGAAAAGCTCACTTGGCACCCTTTGGGTTTCCCAGCTTATAAGTGTGGAAAGCAGCTGACACGATGAGCGCTAGAGACACCCACACACACACCGACAGTGCAGGGGACGCGTGTCTCCTTCACCATGACTCCGTGGGAACCTGCTCAATGCAGCTCCTCCCTCTACCTCACGGTTGAGGCTCAGCCAGCTCTCGCCAGCCTGCGCCAAACTGCCCTCGGGCAGCCAAGACTAGTGCCCATGAAGGCACATCCTCCCTGCCACAGCCACACAGGACTCAGCAACAATCACAGCCCCAAGAGTGACGCTACTGCCGCTGACTTTAATGGAACCATCTTCTGTGCCAACCGTGAGTGCTAAGGCCCTGACTCATTTAAATCACTTCATCTTCCCAACAAACCTGTGTGTTGGGGGGGGGCGGTGTTAGCATGGACCCACTTTCTTTTTTTTTAAGATTTTATTGGGGAATTGGGGGAGGGGAACAGTGTTGGGGAATTGGGGGGCGGACCAGCCAAGTTGTTCTTCAATCTTCGTTGTGAAGGGTGCCAGTCGCCATCTGGCTTCCCATCGGCAGCTCGTGGCCTCTAAGCTCAAGGTGCTGTGTTCAATCTTAGTTGCGGGTGGGCGTAGCCACCATCCCATGTGGGAGTCGAACCAGCAGCCTGTTGTTAAGAGCACACGTTCTATTCCCTGAGTCATTCAGGCGACAGCTCAGCTCAAGATGCCGACTTCAGTCTTAGTTGCAGATAGGCGTAGCCCACCATGGAACAGGCAATCTTGTTGTTACACCAGCTGAGCCATCCTGCCACCTGTTGGCAGCTTAGCGGCAGCTCAGCTCGGGCACAGCATCACTGGCCCATGTGAGAATTGAACCGGTGGCCCTGTTGCTCAGAGCTCGCGCTCTTAAGCTAACTCTTAACCAACTGAGCCACTCGGCCGGCCCAGCATGAACCCACTTTCAATGATGAATGGGGAGCTGGGCAGAATCGCTTTACACTAAGGACGCACAAGAGGCAGCTGCCAGGAACGGGTAGCCCCGGGGCTGGCCTGAAGAAAGCATTTGTCAGCTGAGTGCTATAACTTTGTGTATTTAAGACCAATAAAAGTACAGAATTTTGAGAAGACAACCATTCAGACCACGCGATATTGTGGACTTGAGGAGGCCTTGATGAATGCTGATGGAGTTGAGGGGGTCAACAGCTCCCCATCCACAGCCTCCCGACAGGGGAGGCCAATGAGACCCTGAGGCCTGGGAGTGGGGTTTGAACCAAAGGCAGGAGGCCCTCTGCTGCAGGTGATTGTAAGGAAGGCCAAGAAGCCTAAGGGCCACGTTTTTCTTGAGACCATCGCCCAGCACGTCCACCCCTGTGGCTACTTCCTGCGTGAGGGGCTGAGGGGCTATTGAACCCACCCTCGATGTTGTAAGAGAAGGAGAAACACACTGCAGCAGCTGATAAAGGTTCCTCTAGGAAGTCCATGCCCAGCCCCCACCTCTGCCCCCAACACCGACGTCATGTCGGCAGGATCCTCTGGTAGTGTGACCTCCCATCCCTGGGGGTTCTCTTCCTGGAGCTGCACACACACACCCCACACACACACCCCACCCCTGGCTGAGTAAATCAGGAAGGGGCACTGAGTCCCCTGGGCCTACCTGACCTTCCAGGCCAACCATTCTTTCCCTGGTTTACAAGCCAGGTAGCCTGAGGACAAATGACAAATGGACAGCGTGAATCCAGTGAGGTCTGGTGGGCAGTCTTTGAAAAGCACCAAGGGCTATAAAGATGTGAGGCTGTTAAAACCTGCCTTGTGATAAGAGTTGTTAAAACCCTCTGAAAGCAAAGGCGTAGAACCACAGAACCAGCACGAAACGGTCCTATCGTGTTTAATGAGACACCGAGTTGCTCTTCAGTGACAACAGACCAAAACCACATGTCATGTGGCCCCAGCCAGCTTTACCCAGAATCAAAGCCTCTCCCTCTACATACCCCCTTTCCCCCCAACTCCCCTTCTCACCCCACCCCACTCCCACATACACAATCAAAGGACCAGGATATAACCAGAACTTGGACACTGGAACCCTTTCAGCAGCAGAGGGTCCACTGTCCAGGAAGATCCGTCCTCCAGTTAAAACTCGCCCTGCCAGCACTTCCGCACACCTGTTCCCTGTAGCCCCTTAAAATCCTGCCCCGAACCCTGGATCGGGGAGTTCCGGCTTTTGAGCACTAGGTTTCCATTCTCCTGGGTGGCGCCGTTCATAATAAAATAGCCAATCTTTCTCCACCGCAATTCTCAGTGGCTAGTGTTTGGCTCTGCTGGCACGGGTGAACGAACACAGTGTAAATACCAAAGGTATGGGGGTGGGGGAGAGTCCATGTTTCTGGCTCCTTCTGGGTAACCCTCCCCCTTCTTCCTCCTCTCTTTGTTTCCAGATCAGAAAAAAAACAAGAGCCGGCTCCTGTGCTTCTCATGACCAGCAGTACTTGTGTCCTCTCCCTGAAAGAAGGGGCTTCTCTCTGGGCAGGAGCCCAGGCAGGGAGGGCTGCAGTGTCCACGACTCTGGGTCCTCAGTCAGCCTGATGCCCAGGGGCCCAGCCGGGCAAGGGCAGGCAGCAGGCACCAGGCGCCATGCGTGGACTCAGCCTGAGCCTGCAGGACTGCGTGGTCCCTGCCCTCTTGGAGCTCTGGGAGGATGGGGACACGGGACCCAGGAGACACCGCAACCATTACAGACAAGTAACCACAGCCAGCTCTGAGCCTCAGTCAGAGGAAACGGGAACAGAGAGGATGCTGGTGGGATGGGGTTCAGGAAGGGTTCCCCAAAAATGGGATGATGAGCAAATTGGAAAGGGAAGCAGGGACTTGATTCTACTCATTTGTTTATTCATTCATTTCTTCCGCAAACATCTGTACTACCTACTAGATTACAGACACTGCTGGGAAACTGAGGACACAGAGGCGGAAAAACTGGACCAGTCAGACAGAGTAGACACGGTCAGGAAAACAGACACGTCTAGAAACAATTAAGCCCTGAACAAGGGCTGCATTGACGTATGGACAAATCAGTGTGTGAGCAGAGAGGAGGGGCTGGGCACTGACCTGGGTCCTGTGTGAGGCTCAGGGGCTGCTGAGCAGACAGCAGGGCAAGTGTACCAGGCAGAGGGACACATACAAAGCGAGCGAGAACAGGGACCAGCCATCACGTCACTGGGCGGAGGAGCTGGGTGCCCAGGGGAGAGGAAGATGAGGAGAGGGGAAGGCTGGGCCCAGACTCAGAGGGCTGGGGTGCCCAGCCACGGGGTTTGGGGGTCGCTGGAGGATGCTAGCAGGAGAGGATCATACCAACCTGAGAGAGGTGGGACAGATGGGGCTGGCAGAGAGGTGATATGGGGTGTTGAGCCAGGGTGGAGGGTGAGGACAGGGGAGACCCAGCAGTCTGTGGGGGACACCGTGAGGGGACAGTCTCGGGGAGCAGGGGCTCCCTCACTGTCTGAAATGAGGCCAGGTACTGATGATGTTGTACAAAGCCTTCCCAGGAGACAGAGTATTGATAACGTCACTGTGCCCCACCAGAAGGTAGTTGGGGCTCAGGTATCCCTTGTCCACCGCACACTGGATCAGGGTCTGGGCCGCCTTCAGCGCCACGGCGTTAGGGGGCTTTTCTGCAAAACACATGTACCCCATTAATCATCAGGGTCTCAAGTTTACTTGCTTAGGGCTGAGACAAGCACCCAGATTGCAGTCGCCCTCTGCCCCCTTCCCCGCCCACTGCCACCACCAATACACATAAACTGTGACAGCCAAGCACAAAGAGAAAACACGGTGACTGTGTTTCTTGATTCTTCCTTGCAAAGCTTCTTCTGGAAAGTTCAAAACTGCTCTGGAGGAGAGGCTGCAGCACAGCACACCTCTTCTCGGCAGGCACCACTGGACCGGCCACGGCTTTGCATAACAGGCAATGATGCTCCCCAGCACTGTTGCCATGGTTACCAAGAAAGAGGATATATTTGCTGACTGAGCCATCAAGGCACCAACATTTGCAAAAAATTATGTTCTGTCTTGCTCCATGCTTGCCTTGGGTACGGCTATGAAGAGAGATGGGGCTGGATATGGGGATGGATGGACTGGGGACAATGTTCTGCCAGGGAGGGACTCCTGGTGGCCTGCATCCTGTATTGAGTCCTTTCAAGCTAAAATGTTCCACTGACACTGCCAGGCACCAGAAGGTTGCCTCTTCCCCCATCCTTTCTAGACATTCCACACGGTACTGCATCACCCAGAACCCTCCGCCCCACGCTCACTCCTTACCTACAAAGTTGCCCATGAACGCAATTCCAAGGCCAATGTCATTGTATCCGTAAGTGTGAGAGCCTTCGTGATGCCAGCCAACTCCTTCATACACACCGCCGTCCTGGCCCACCAGGAAGCTAGAATTGGGCAAAGGGAAATGGAGAAAGTCACTCCGGGAAGAAGGACTGGCTTCATTCACTCCTTAACTCATTCATTCACTCTTTCGTCCATTTATCAGATGTTGACTGAACGTCTCTTATGGGCCAATGTGCACAGAGACAAAAACTGAAAAAGAACCACAGTCCCTGAACCTGAGAAGTGAGGTCACACAGTGACAAGCAATGATAGTTGCAACTTCAGTCCGCTGCAACATGGCCTTTCTCCCCATGATGCCACTGAATCTGACCCCTCCAAGGTGGCCAGTGACCGCCTTGACACTAGTACAGTGGAAACGTATCTTTCTTCTGGGTTACACTGACCCTGTTGACCCCTCTCTTCATGAAATGTCACCTGTCTTCATGCAAGCCACACGCTCCTGATTTTCTTCTACTCTGCTGCTCACCCTCTGCTCCCTCTGGGACCCTCCCACCCTCCCCTGGAAGGTAGTGCTCCTTGGAACGCTGGTCTAGCACCTTCTCTCTTCTCACCGAACATGTTCTTCCCGGACAATCATCCAGCCCTGTAGCTTCAATTACTATCTATAAAGACCACATGCCCTAAGGGAACCAGCTTCTTCTGCAGTTTCCTCAGCCAGAAATCGGGCATCATCCTGAATGCCTCCCTCCCCCTCCCAGCCCCATCCAATCATGAGTCAAGGCTGGTCCATCGGCCTGTCAATCATATCTCCTACTTTAAATTCCTCCTCTTCTCTCTGTGCCGACTGCCACTACACTGTTCCAGGTCCTCACCAGCTTTTGTCAGGATTACTGCAATAGCTCCCTGCTCAGTGTTTTGTCTCCTTCCAATCCATTCTTAAATAGCACCCGGAGTGATTTTGCTAAAATACGAATCCTATCATAGGGCATGACCTTCCAGTTGCCTTTCAAATAGAGCCAATCTCCCAGGACCAACTCTGGAGCACCTCGTGATATGACTCCTGTCGGCCTCTGCAGCCTTACCTCTCACCCTTCCCCTCTTGAAATCTAGTTTTATGCGTGAGTTAAAGCTCTTCAGTTCCTCCGAGATGTGCTCTGTCTGGACCCCAGGCCCTTCCCTGGAACACTCCTCATCCTTGTTTGCCTGACTAACCACCACTCATTGCTGGTGTCCCAGCTTGGATGCCCCTCCCTCCAGGACCCCTTCCCTGCCACACTCACTCCCCCAAAGCCTCATCTGTGCCCCATCCTCTTCCTCATCCATCACAACCTAACTCGGACTTGTCCTTACTGATTTGCTATCTTCCCTCTCTCCTCCAGAGGAAGGAACCATTTCTATCTTGCCAAGCACTGAGCACATAGCAGATACCCAACAAACACTGGTTAAAAAGTTAGAAAACGGTGAGCGAGAGGACTATCTTGATGACAGTCCACATCCGGATTAGAGATGATGCACTCCGAGGCTGGAGGGTGAGGGGGGGCACCATAACAGGTTTCAAAAGTCAAGGAAGTCCCTGAAGACTGAATGAGAAAGGAAAACTAACATTCCCTCAGCTCATGTGGCCTTTTCCATCTAGGATTTCCAAATTTATCATCCAAGGCCGTGGAAAGTCCTGCGAAGGACAGCAACAGTTTCCGCATCTGCAATGCCTGCTTTCAAGTGGAAGTTAAGAGGAGAGAGGCAGCAGCCCAGACACATGTGAAAGCATGTCCACCAGAGATTTGGCAAAGTTTGTTGTGATGAAGTCACAGACAAATGGTTGCCATTTGTCATACTCTATAAATCCCTTCTATGAAATTCCAAGTAGCTTTGGCTATTCCGTCAGCTTCATGTGTTTCCTTATTATAGACCTGGCATCAAAGGAACTGAAAGAGAATGCCTTGATTTCACTCTGTATCTTTAAATAGAAAAGGTATTGTTGCCCCTACTGTAGAGATAAGGAGAGAGGCCCAGAGAGGTTAAAAGCTCCTGTGGGTATAAAACAGATTAAACAATGCCAGACGTAATGCAGGATTCTAACACTGGAGAGAACAAGTTCAGGGCTGGGAGACCAAGGCAGGGGTTGTAGGGCCTGTCTCTGAGTGGTTGGCATTACATTAAAAAGGCACAATGCGGGTGGGCCGAGTGGCACGATGGTTAAGAACTGGCTTGGGATGCCAGAGGGCCCCCGTTCGGATCCCACATATGAGGGCCAGTGACACTGCCCTCCACAGCTAAGATGCTGAACAACAGCTCAACCTGGAGCTGGGCTGCCGTGAGTCGCCAGCGATGGCGTAGGCTGCAGCCCCTGTGGCAGTGGGTTGCCATGGGCTACCGTATGTAGCCAGCAGCCAGCGTGAGCGGCCAGCAGCCGCAGTGAGCGGCCGTCCAGAAGCCGGCGACTGATCTGCCTCGCCCTGGAAGAGCGCAATGATGGTGCCAACTTGGGCCAGTGAAGCAACGTCCTCCACAACTAGACTGAAGAACAAAACGACAGCAACTTGTCTGTTCCCCTTCCCCCAATTCCCCAGCACTGTTCCCATCCCCCAAATTCCCCAATAAAAATCTTTAAAAAAAAAAAAGGCACAATGCTTCGACGGCCTTCTGGAAGGGTCTCACAGTCTTGCTGTATCACTCCTGCTTCTAACCTCTACTTTCCAAAGTCTACTTCTCGATCCCTCATGAAGAATGTGCCCAGGAAAGATAAGTAACCCTTAGCTATGCCTAAGTGACAGTTCAGAGTCTTGCACGAATAAATGTGATGTCTTAGGTGACACACCTGGTACACAGAAAGGGCTCAGTAAATGTCGGTTCCGTCCCACAGCCTTTCTTCCTACAGCCCTGAAGAAAAGGAGGGTCACGTCCCCACCGACCCCACTTACTGATATCCGATGTCACAGAAGTCCTGCCTGTCCATGTGGAAGGACTGTATGTCTCGGACACGTGACTGACACTCCATGGATTCATTGCAAGGCGCCCCAGCGGTGTGGATGATGACGACATATTTGGCCGGGAGGTTCATTTTAGGGCAGTGTGTCTCTCTGGCTTCCCAAGTTGACCGCGTAATGATGATGGGGCAAGCTGTGGTGAAGTGAAAAGCCAAGGACGTGGGCACTCACTTGTGCCCACATGTGGACAATCTCACCGCTGTGCGGGGACAGTCTCCCCCAATTGCTGGCACCCACTGGCACATCAGCACTGTGGGGCTGTGGGAAAGGCCAGATGGGGATTTTCTGGGCCAGGTGGCTGGATGGGGGTAAAAATCTACGAAATCTGTATGATTCTGTTGATCGTACAGTCACGGCCATTTCCTTCAAAAGACAAAGTGTACCTAACTGCTTGGATATGCATTGTAAATACATACAGCTGTGTGGATTTATGTTAACAGGGCGAATATGCAGAAATCAGCTGACTCGCTCAACTGATCGCATGTATATGGAAGTAATTTGAAATCTATAAAGGACTTTACAAGTGTGAAGAGGTGATCATTATTGAAGATAGCACCTGTTCGAAAGCAAGAAACACTATTTAGAGACTGACAATTTTCCAAGAAGGTTAATAAAAGATACCCTTGAGTCCGAGAAAAAGTTCCTGCTGGCAGAGAACCCTAAATGACTGAACATGTATATTCATTGTGCTGGTTTTAGGTGGCTGTTTGATTTTTATTATCATAGCACATGATTTTTGTTACCTGACTTTTTTGAATATTTGCTCTGACGTCAGCATAATCTGTGAACTCAAGTTTCTCAGCCCTGCGGTCATGTTGCAGGTTTACTGGGTTTTGTATTTAGGAAGGAGAGTGTGTGTGTGTGTGTGTGTGTGTGTGTGTGTGTGTGTGTGTTCACATAGTAGACATGAATATGTATACATGTTTACCCCGCCCCTCTTTTCTTCACAGCCTTCCTGCCATCTGACATCATATGAATTTTATGTCGTCATGTTCTGTCTTTCTTCACTGAAATGTGAAGTGTTGTCTCTTTTGTTTACAGCTGTATCTTCAGTACCCAGAAGAGTGTCTAGTATTCGGTAAATGTCTGTTGATGAAGTGAAAATGTGTGTACATACATATTTATGTCAAGAATGGCTCCATGGCTATATTATTCCAGTGGGAAGAAGGAAGACACCCTCTCAGAATGTTCTAGATCTCAGCATGAGGTGCTCTTGGTCCAAGAAGCCAATGAATGCCAGTAGGAAAAGGACTTCCCTCAAGGAGGAGGGTGAGATGGGGTTGAGGACCTTACCTGTCCTGGGCATCACTGGCTGCTGAGGGCTCAAACAGACCTCTTCTTTCAAGAGAAGTGGCTGGATATACCTGGGTGACAGGCGACCCTTCCGGATAGCATAGAAGATCAGGTCCTCTGCAGCTGATAAGGCAGCTGGGCTGGGACTGCTGCCTGAAAGAGGGTGACACAGAACACAGAACTATCGGCAAGAAACTCCAACCTAGTCTAGACCTGGAGGGAGGATACAGTGACCACCTGAGCCTGGATAACTGATGGGAAGAGAGGGAGCCAGTCCAATAGCCAGGACAAGGGACCTAAGAGACCAGGAACTACTGGACACAAAGTAGGCGACCTTTGTCATGTGCCCAACTAAGACTTCTCTCCTCTCCATCTCTAGATGGAAGAGATGGGAAGCGGCAAAAGCTACATGCAAAGGGAGACGCCCCTGACCCAGTCAGGAACACCCTAGCATGGAGAAAAGGGTGACAGATTCACTGAGTATCTCTCCCAATCAGACACACGGCAAGCGCTCTTGATATCCATTAGCTCATATCGTTTTCACCGAAAACCTCTGAGATAGGAGCTATGACTCGCCAGAAGAGGACCCCAGCAGGTGCCAGGTACTTATTAGCTCTCCACTGCATCCTGCCCTCTGCTCTCCTGTTTTAGAAGAGGCTAAAACCCTGCAAACAACACTTTCCAGGCTGCCTTGTCTGCCGGCTTCTGGTTGGGCTCTCCCTATGGGAGACACTGGAGGAAGAGCACAGCCATGCTTTTCCACCTCTGCCACCTGCAGCCTCAGTGTCACCCCACCTCAGACCCCACAAGCGATGGCAAAATCGTGAGCTCAAGCGGTGTCAGTAATCTCACTGACTGGCTTCAGCAATCTCACAGCAGTGCAGACCAGAGAAGAGAAAGAGGACAAAAAGAAAGCCATGTCACAGAGTCCAGGCGAGAAAAGGAGTTCAAGAGGCGGGCGATGGTCAGAGAGGACAAGTATGACACAGGCTGAAAAGACGAGGGTGTGGACACGAGGGATGGTGTAGACAACCGCCAGAGGGGGTGCCCATTACCTATCTTACTGCCGAAGAAGGCGAGGCCCAGGGAGATGTTGTTGTAACCCGGGGTGTGCATGCCTGGCACGCCCCAGCCGACACCTTCGTACACCTTGCCATCGTCCCCAACCAGGAAGCTGCCAGGCAAGGAACATGGATTGAAGGGCAAATCCCTGGAATGGGAAACCTGTCACCCTTAGAAAGGACAAGGGTTCTAGAGGCTCATAAATAAATACTATGCTCAGTGACCTAACAGGGGCCGGGTAACTCATTTTAGACTCCCCGGAGGTCACTTAGCTTACTTAGCATGTTCCCCAGAACCAAGTGGAATTCGAACGTGTGACCCTCAAGGACCTGGGGACGTCAGTTCAGCATTTCTCAAGGGCATGAGAATTCATCCATCCAGTTTTTAAATATGGGACCAAGCCCTTGAACATCTAAAACAATCAACCGGGATTCAGGAATTCCTTCATATTGACTTTTGCTTCAGTTTATCCTTAGGAATTCCCATAAGCTCTTCTTTATCACAGAAATTTGTTTAGAGTGTTCCTTTCCTCCATTTATTTCTTGAAACCAATGTATCTATTCTCTTGTTCTACTTCCTCCTTCCTTCCTGCCTCTGTAACTGTTTCGTCCTCCACTTTGTAATCACAGTCTTTAGAATTGATGTTGTCACAACTCTTGCCAGACACATCTTCTATGAGACCATGAGTTTCCACCGCAAACTGAAGACAGAACACTTCCCTGATGTCTCTGCAGACCCTGAACTGCCCGCCCTGTACTGACATCAGCCTGAGGAGTGGGGCAGCCTCAGCGTGTCCGCCATGTCCCTGGCTTTGCTGCCGTACATTCAGCAGGTCCCTCTGACTAAGCAGCAGCCTTTGCTTAGTCCAGTGTGTATGGTCCTTCATAGCTACTGTCAGCTGCATGGTACAGACTGGTTGTTAAATTGTCACCTCAGAAACCTAACTCAGAGACGCGGTGGCTTAAATCCCCTAGAAATCCTGAGGCAGAAGGCAACACAGCAGTGACAAGAGCGGGAGGTGGGGGACAGCAGCTGAGACAGCCTTGACGGAGGATGGACAGGAAGCCCCACCCTGCACCCCCCATGTTCTACAATGGGGCCTCCCCAGCTGCTCTTATACATTTGCACCCAAAATAAATAATTAAGAAGATGTGGGTTATCCTTTCCAAAATGAATACATCTCTTATGTTTGTCTTTAGAATTCAGGAGGAGGGGGAAGCCCTATTCCCACTCTATCTCTCTCCTTCTACAAATATACGCCTCCAGACACATCTCCTCATTCTTGAGGGGAAAAAAAGAGGGTTGGGCCTCTGCTGATAATTCTCAGAGTGGATACTCCTCAATGCACAACCTCAGGATCTCCATGCCTCACACTCGTTGGAACTCGGGGCTCTCCGCCCCGACGTATCCCCAATGCCACTCCTCCCGTGGGACCCCAGGCTCACTGTGAGGTGGCTTTCAGGGTACCTGGTGGGGACTGCTTCTCAAGGTCAAAGTCATGTCAGTGTGCACAAGTGGAACATGTGCTGGGCTAACAGGCAGTCTGGGAAGAGCTCTGGGTCCACACTGCCTAGCCATGTGACTTCCAGCAAATTCTCTAACTTCCCCAGACCACGGCGTTCTCACCTGTGAATCAGGGTGGTAATATCTCTCTTACCCGTTCCTCGAGTGACTTGGGTAATTCTTGTGAAGCCCTTTGTAAACTGTAATGTCCCCCGAGCTGCAAGGGGACAGCCTCCAAGACCACATCTGAATACACAGCCCAGAGCATCCCCCCTAATGACCCTGGGAGATTTCAGATTTGGTTTGTTTTAACTTTTTTTAAGTTACATTTTAAAAGTAACAGAAATGGGGAAAACAGAAGGGAAGGCGGGAGGCCCCCTCAGAGGGGTCACTTGAACGTGGCTCTTACTTGTAGGCCACGTCGCACCGGCCTTGGGTGTAGACAGCACGGGACTGAAGGTCCCGCAGCTTCTGGCTGCAATCGTTCTGCTCCCGGCATTCTACCCCCAGGAGCTGGTCCGTGATGACGTAGGGCACAGACGGGGCCAGCTGGCCGCCGCAGGTCGGTGATCTGGCCCCCCACTCCTTGCGGGAGACGACAGTGGGAGCACCTGCAGGGGGACCGAAGGATGACATGTGGCAGGTCCTACCCCCGTCCCGGGCAGGCTGCCCGGGCAGCCCTCGTCCTCCCACTCTAGGGCCTCTCCTGCCCCACCCACCATGGTGTGACAGGCCCTGGGGGAGGCCTTTGCCACCAGCAACCTCTCCTTCGCATTTCCAACAGTCCATTTAGGCTAAAAAATAATCCCATCCGACACTGCGTTCAGCCTGGATGTCCAATCGCCTTGTTCTCCAAACACTGGCTCCTTGTATTTCCCTAGAGGACACCCCACCCTCAACCACTCTGTGGTGGCTTCACGCTCCCACCTTCAGAAACCAGCCCCGGTGACACCCGACCCAACTGTGGGGCCTCAGCTGCCTTCTCTGAGGAGACATGGTCCTCATCGGTGTTTGCCCTAGTCGCTGGCCATGTCCTTTGTCCAGCCCTCTCCTCAGAATGGTGACTCTAAGGACTGTTCTACCACTCTCCTCAAACTATGGCTCCCCGGGTCCACAGCCCAAGGAGGTTCCATGAGCGTCAGGTACGTGTCTCTCTCTTGCAGATGAATACTCCCTGTGGGCAGGGCTGTGAGAGCCCCACAAGGACCCCAGGCTCCCGGAGGCTCCCTTTCTGTCCCCATCTTGGGCCCCTGGGAGCTCTCTGAGGGATAGGGTGTCTCCACCCTCCCACTGAGAGCTGGGGACCATGGCCTTGTCTTCTCTCCCCATGTCATCTCTCCTTCCTGGACCCCAGCTTTGCCTGAGGACTCAGGACAGCCCATGGCAGTCACTGACGGACACCCATCTTGGGATTCCCCCCGACCTCCCGAGCCGCACCCAAGAAGCCCCAGCCAATCCCCAAGCCACCTTACCACTACGACCCTTGCGGGTGAGCTGTGAGATGCCAACAAACAGGTCCAAAAGCTGCTCTGACACGTCTCTCGCTTGGGTTTCACTCCAGGAGAACCGTTCAGACTCCCCTGCAGAGGAACATTGCGCTTGGTGCTGGTCCCTGGAGAACACCCAGACCAGCTCAGAGGCACCAGCTCCATGTCCCCAGCCCCTGTCCACAGCCTCTCAGCTCCCCAGGTCCCTGACCTCCTCTAGGAAACAGGCAGAGGGGAACCACAGATATCTCTAGCCTCACCCTGCCACTGCCTCTCCCATATGCCTTAATGAGGCCCGCGTGCTGCCACCTTCCCCCACCCTCCCTCCATGCCAGGTGCACTGCAGGCTTTCTGCCCCCTATCTAAGCAGCTCTGCCTTCCCCAGTCACCTGCTTACCCAGTAATAGATCACAGTGTCATGTGTCAAAATGGTCATCAACATTTTGAGCTAAACTGTATACAATATGAAGCACCTATTGATCCAGATGAGATTCTTGAAACATAGAAATTTGCAGACTGTTGGGGCTGCCCTCACAAACTGGGTTTTATAGATAGGATGAATTGAGGATGAGTTATCACAAGCGTGCCTCATCCCCCTCTGCCTGTCCAGCACCTGAGGTCATGGGAGCCAATAACCACTAGAACCAGCAATATCACCAATATCACCTACCACAGGTCAGCTCTGTAAGTTACAACGCATTTTCAAGGGCACGCTCAGCTTTGTGGCTTAAAACAATTTTATAAGGTAAGCAAAGCAAAGCAAATTAACTACTCCCTCTAGACAGATGAGAAACTAACGCTCAGAGACGCTAAGTTACTTGTCTAAGATGACACGGGTTTTAAGCCGTGGACTTGGACTCCAACCCAGGCCATCTGGCCTCAGAGCCATGTTCAGAACCACCACACTCTGGGACCTCCCCCAAAGTCATCAGATGACCTTGGGCAAGTCACTGCTACACATGGCCTGTTTCTCTGTCTATAAGACAAAGTTACTAAGGGTCTTCACCATGGTTCTGAGATTCTGTCCTCCTGTAAAATCATCAGGAGTATGTACATGACTATGACCCTGAGGCCAAGATCTGCTGCGCAGGCTGGAGAGGCTGTGAGGACCGGAGCCCGTCCAGCAGGGAGGAAGGACCTGAGCTGGGCCCGGAAGGGGAACACAGGACGGGTGGGGAGCAGTGATGAACCTGGAGAGGACAATCTGCAAGTGAAACCAGGCTGGAGCTGATGCCAAAAGCACTTCTGACCCGATGGAAGAAAACCTACCCCAGGCCAGGAGACCGAGAGCTGAAAAGATGAGAAGCCACGGCAGCATCATCACGTGGTCCCAGGACACCAATGAGAAGAGTGTGGACTGAAGACCTAGGAGAGATGCTGACAGTTAATCCAACCAGGCTCGCTCTTCAAACAGGGCATCTGCCTCACTGCATGACACCCCGTCTGCCTCCCTGCCAAACTGTGGGTCTCCTGAGAGCCAGCACCTAGCCAGGCTTCTCAGGGTCCCCAGCACACAGCCTGACCCTCAGCAGGCGCTCACCAACACCTCTGTCTAGCCACCACCCTCTCCCCCAACCTCTTACCCTGGGAGCTCCTGGTCCCTGGGAAGAGCCCAGTACCTCATCTTAGGCCTTCCAGCATAGGTCATAACAATTCCTAAAATCCTCGAGTAGCTGTTAGGAATAAACCCGGTGTAGATATTTTCACATCTAGTGCCTTCATTTTATATTTAATCCTTTAAAAATTCCTGTAAAATATTTTAACCCCACTTTTATAAGTGAACCCACTGAGGCTCAGAAAAAGTGAACTAAAGTAGGGGCAGGAGACTTCCCCAGCACTATTTGAGAGTCAGAGGTGTGTTAGGTCATCTAATTTGGTCCTTTACCCCACAAAAAGCCCAACAGATGCTCAACTAACTTCATCTTGAGCGAATAATAACAGCAACAATTACCACTTACTGATCACATCCTACATTCCACATTTCTAAGGACTCCCTAGATATTCCATCAAATTTCCTCACATTGCCCTATGAGACCCAGCTTTTGATCAGGAAATGGGGCCTCAGAGAGTCTAAGTCACTTGCCCAAAGTTACCCAACCAATAGGAGCAGAGCTGGGTCCCACCCAGATCTGTCTGACTCCATAGTCTTTGCCTGGAACTTCTCCACCATCTGCCTAAGTTTCCGATGGTGGAGGGTCTCAACGTGGGCCCAGAACCTCTGTGGTCCTTTCTAGCTGCACAAATCTTTTCTGCTCTCAGGCAGAAATGAATTCTTACATTGTGCTCAATCAAAATGAAATATCAGCTCCATGAGTTGTCAACCAAAACATCAACTCTCCTCCCAATTATCTTACTGAGAAACTGTAGAAGCGCTGACCCTTGCTCTCAGAGTTTTTATATTATCACCAGTAGTCCCAGGTGGAACATGTTTAGAAACATGGTTTAAGGCTTGAGTATGTAGGTACTTCCTGGATCAGGACAAGCAAACACCTGGTAAATAACACCCAAGATTCCATTTGTTTGAGAAAACTGCACTGAAGACAAAATGAGCCCATCACGGATGAGGACAGGCACCTAATAAGCACGTGGGACAGTGTTCAACCTCCCTCAGGGGCCAAATGACAGGCGGGATTAACGTGTCCAAGATGGAAGCCCTGTAGGCTGGGCTCCTGCAAAGCTACCTGGAAACCAGCAATCAATCCTGGTCAGCAGGAGGTTTGCGCCCTGGTCACTTGACCATGGTGCTTCTCCAACCACGAACGTCAATGTGACAAATGCTGTCATGAGGTGTTCCACCATACAGCTAAAATTGCAAGGCTTGAGCCCAGCCCCTGATCATGCCAGAGGTGTCTCTCACCCCCACACCCATTCCCACCTCCAATTGCAAACACTGAACTAACAGGAGAGACCGGAGCCAACATTGCTGTGTATTCTGTATACTTAAAACAAAGATGAAATACCAGAATAAGAGACAGGTGAGATATAATAGATAGGGACTCAGGGCTAGACAGAAAGGGAAGAGCTAGGATAGAGGTAAATGCAGGACCCACAGCGTTGGCAAGAGAGACCAGTAGTGGTATAACCAAACTCACAAGAATTTAGAATAGAAAATGTTCTTATTTGTAGGGAGAATTCCAGAGGGAAGGTCAGAGGAACATTCTCCACTATGTTAACATTTTAACCTGATAGAGTCCAGATCCTTCGATGGGAGAGGGTTTCCCAGGAAGAAACACGCACACTCACACTCAGAAATACCTGGGGTCCCGTGCAGCTCAGGGTGCCGGCAGCTCCCCACTTTCACACTTGGCCCCTGGCCCCGCTGCCTCCTGGGCCTTCACTCTCCCTGCGCTGGAGGCCACTCCTTCCCGGGAATGCAGCCTCAGGCTCCGGCTTCCAGGAGAGAAGAGGGAAGATGGGCCCCTAACAAAAGGTGGAGAGGACAAGGAGGGCCGAGCTCCCAGGCTCCGTCCACAGCACCGAGAAGAACTCAGGTGAGACTGGACTCGGCTGAGAGCTGGGACCCACCCTCTGAGTAAGCCCAGGTGCCTCCTCCCTGGGAAAGGGCGCGATTGCCCAAGCTCCCAGAGCTGCTGCCTCATCCCAGCTCTCAGGAAGCCCAGCCAACGTGGGGGTGCCCCTGGGACCTGGGAGCCTGTCCCACAACTGGGGACTTCCTGCCCTGGAGACAGATCTGCTCCGGGACATGGAGGCTGTGGGTGGAGGTCCCTCAGCAACACCCCACCCCCTTCCACTGGGTCACCAGCAGGGGCAGGGTGGGGGCAGAGAAATAGAAAGGTACATGCCAGCATCTTGCAATGTGTCATCACTAGAAATGATTCTAACCCTGTGACCCGCTGGCCCATTCATCCCCCACCCCCATCTTAGCATCCAACTGTCTGAATCTAACACCTTCAGAAGCGTTTCACAAACCAAGGCTCTCCCACTCTTTACCCACTTTTGACAGTGGCTTTCATCTTTAGTTGTCTCCCAGAATCCCGCACCTTCTCCGAGGAGCTTTATACATTAGACAGACTTTCCTGCTGCCAAGGGTACCTGAGTCACAGCCCCTGAAATGGGAGAGCTCAGACCAGGGCTCCTGGAAACCACAGTGTCCACTGCAGAAGCTGTTTGAATAGCCCCCATGTGCCCCACGCTGCTAGCCCATACGGTATTCTAATGAGAATTAGAAAAGGTGCTCCTTCCACAGTTAAAAATTGATATGTTGTGTATTAATAAAAGCAATTGTGATAAGTAGTCACTGTCTGTAAGTCACGTAAATCAAAGTATTAAACATAAACTAGCACTTCACATTTTTAGCTACAATAATTAAGAACTCAGAGTCACTGGGGTATAATAACTTGTCATGCCGTTGCCTTACTTTCATGGAAACAAAACTCTTTATACTAATTTTGGCGCTTAACTTGATCTAGTATTTCATTTTCTTAAAAACTGATGATTTTCTAGTCTTGGTTGAGCCATTTTAAATGCATTTTCATTTGAGACGTGATAGTTTCCACTAGTGACCAATATTATCCAGGTGAGATACATCTTGAAAGCTACAAAATTTTTAGAAAGATATCTGGCATATTTTTGCTGCAAACATGCTTCAACTTCAGCAGGATTCACACCAGAAAATAAAGCCTCTGCTCTCTCATCCACGGATATCTGATCAATATCACTTTCCTTACTATGGTCATCAGCTAATTTCACTTGTAAAATTTCACCTAGTAGAAATAGTCCATGTTCGTCAAATTTTCCAAACTCAATATGAAATATAAATACTAAAAAGGCCATAACCCTCTATCTGTATTGTAGAATTTTCTTTAAAAATCATACAGTTGTAGCCAATTTCTTTTAAAAATTTGAAATATCAGGTTGATGGGTTGATATGAGACTCACGATTGAAGTGAGTGCTGCCTTTTTTCGAATACTGTCTACATTGGAGAAATTATTGTTGTAATCAAGGGGTTTCTAATTTGTTAACATCATTAATATGTTTTCAGTAAACATTTTTGCCTCTTTTTTCTTTAAATTGTCTGTTTGCAAGGACACTATGAAAACTGAATTGTATTGCCTACATAACTTTGCTCAGAATAATAATTTGACTAAATACATTATGACAAGGTATTACTGAGCAAATGAATCTTAAAATGGTTACTTTTAAATATATACCATATGCTTGAGTTCTGGAATATAACTTTATTAAAGGCATGAATTTGACTTTTACATCATATAGCAGATGATGGTTTTAAATTAATTTTGATAATATTTCAGTGTAATCCAATCTTTCATTGATGCTGAAAGTAGCTATTAAGCTCTTGGACAATATAAAAATTAGGGGCATCAACAGAACTTTCAGCTTCTTCATTTACTGCCAAGTTTAAAGGTTTCAGAGAGAAAAGACCACAGAATTCTTCAGAAAAATTTATTATCTTTCGAAAACTTTTCAGTATTCTATATATCTCTGTAGTATTATTGTATTCCTGGATATGCCATACCTTCAATCAAACCTGTCTTATTCGTTCAGTAATTCTGCACACAATTATCAGCTTCATGATGATTATGTGAAGCCCATTATCCAAGGATAAGTAAAACAAGAATTAATTCCCTTTCAAGGAGTTAATAATATAATTACGGACACAGGCTCAAGCACCAATAATTGTTAGGACAGTCAGGTGAAATGTGTACATCCATGTTTCCTGTCAAGTGATGTATGTCGAGTAAAACAAGTTCTAAGGGGCAATGGGGAGACCAGGAATGGGTTATTAAGCCCGGCATTGTGGCTATTAACTGGGTTATTAAACTGTAGCCCTGTGGCTTCGTGCTTGACTTCAGCAGGGAGTGAAATGGTGGCCGTGGAAGTGTTAGATGTGTAAGAGCCTGGGAATTTTAAAGGGATTTGTGAGGTTCTCAAGTTGGGAGGTGAGGTGGTCCACAGAGACGAGAGCTCTGTACCAGGGACAGCTGAGATGAAGTCTGAGGAACGCGTTTCCAGTGGAGAAGGTTGAAGAGACCAAGATAACGGGCGTGTTCTCGGTGTGAAGCAGCCTAGAGACTAGAGGGCTGATCAAGTGTTGGTCTGGTCGGACCCAAAGGGCAGGACCACAGTCTGAAGACACCGTCAGGCCATGGAGGGTATGCCGAGAGCTTCTCATGCACAAGAGACGCAGGGAGAGTGAGAAGACGGGAAGATGGTGACTGTCTAGTGTAGGGAAGCTTGCAGGCAATAGGGCCCGAAATATCGGGGTGTCGGTAAAGTCATGACACAATTTTGCAACGAAAAGCATGGAAAAAATACATCATGACTTTTCCGACAACCCAATATTATGGTTACATGAAGTCCAAGATCAAGGAGCCAGCATGCTCAGTGTCTGGTGAGAACCCGTTTCCTGGCTGTAGACAGCTGCCTTCCCATCGTGTCCTCACATGCTGACTCTTCTCATACAAGCTCTACTGCCGTTTTTTTAAAAAATAGTGGCCACTCATATTGGTCACAATTATATATAGTCGCACCTTATATTCTGAAACCTATAGCTCATAGCACAGGTGAACATGTGTTTCCAGGTGGGCAGGACGGACAGGACGGCCCTGACACCTGGCTCCTACGTGGGAGTGAGAACCACGTCCCGCCGTGGGGGTTGGAGCTGAGTGGGACATGGCAAGTGAGGACGGTCAGAAGCACGGTGTGATTTCATTTGTCTGGGAAAATGACAGGGCACGGCAGGGCTGGGACAGGTGCAGAGAGCGGCATCAGTCTGGTAGGACCTGGCTGTGGGGCCCTGGGAGGGAGCTGTGGGGTAGGGGGGAGGACAGCAGATGCCACATCCACGCAGCTCTCCCTCCTCAGGGTCAGGAATCAGGTAAGAAAACTACCCCTTGTCATGCACAGTGTTAGGTTAGCTAAGACGCTCAGCAGATGCACCCTGGACAAGACATCTGTCCGGGAGATAAGGGGGAGCTTGAGACCAGAGAATTCGGGGTCCTCAGCCCACCATGAGAACAAGGTCACAAGCCCCACCCTCATGGGCCTGACTCTCCTTTTGTCTTATAATAACTTTATATGGAGATGGACTTCAATTTTTTTCCATTGCTTTTTTTTTTTTAATTGGGGAATTGGGGGAGGGGAACAGTGTTTGGGGAATTGGGGAAGGGGACCAGCCAAGTTGTTGTTCTTCAGTCTTCGTTGTGGAGGGCGCCAGTCGTCATCTGGCTGTCCGTCGGCAGCTCGTGGCCTCTAAGCTCAAGGTGCTGTGTTCAATCTTAGTTGCGGGTGGGCGTAGCCACCATCCCATGCGGGAGTTGAACCAGCAGCCTTGTTGTTAAGAGCACACGCTCTATCCACTGAGCCATCCAGGTGGCAGCTCAGCTCAAGGTGCCGAGTTCAGTCCTAGTTGCGAGCGGGAGTAGCCCACCATCGAACAGGCAGTCTTGTTGTTAGGAGCACGTGCTCTCACCAGCTGAGCCATCCTGCCACCTGTTGGCAGCTCAGCGGCAGCTCAGCTCAGGGGGCAGTGTCACTGGCCCATGTGGGAATCGAACCGGCGGCCCTGTGGCTCAGAGCTCACACTCTTAAGCTAACTCTTAACCAACTGAGCCACTCGGCCGGCCCTCCATTGCTTATTTTATATAAAATTATTGGGTTGTCAGAAAATTCATGACGCATTTTTGCAACGAAAAACATAGAAAAAAATACTTCATGACTTTTCCGACAACCCAATAGCTTACCTGAAGTTTTAAAGGGGATGTATGGTTTGGGGAGGCTTTTCTAATCTCATCACTCTAAAGCTCCCTGTTCATCATTCTAGTCTGACAAGTGGTCAAGGATGGAGGTGGCTTCTACTCAGAGAGCACCGAGCTTGATGTCCACCCCCACTCTTATCTGACCCTCTTCTGTTTGTTTGTATCTCTTATCCACGCCCCGTATGACACTCTTCTTAGGCGTTCTCCCCTGGGGGACTCTGTTCTAGAAGCTGGCTAGTTTTGAGTCATAGGAACCAGACAGCTCCAGGTCCCGCAGATGTCACCACAAAATGTGTAAACCCCTCCTGACTTTAGCTGCTGAGCTGTCTAAACTTGTGGGTAAGTACATCTTGGTCATTTGCAGTTCTCAGATCCACAAGGCACCCTGCTTCCTCCGACACAGATGCCGGCACCATAGATTTCCATGGTTCTCAGTGGTTGGTCCCCATCTGCTCGTATTGGGGGTTTATGAGGAGACTCTGTCCCCTAGTTGTGTGGCTGGATCTCCCAGGTAAAAGGTCCAGTTGGGAACTCGTCATTGGCCTCCACCGTGAGCAGGTTGGACAGTCAACAGTCGTGGTGGCCAGCTTGGTTTGGTGAAGGGAACTACACTGTCGCTGGGCCCAGGCGTAGCCTTCATCTCTGCCACGTGACCACATGAGACCCTTGAGCCAGTACCCAGGTGGTTAGGGAAATTGACTGACTGACGTCATCTGATCTAGCTGGCTATTATGACTCTACTCTGCCACAAACGCCCTTGATGGGCAGTCACATGGGATGCCAAGGGTGCGACCTTGCTCTTTCCAGTCCTCGGTCCTGGGGCCAAATCACTGCCCACAGTAGACATCTGATTATCCAGGCAAAGCAAGCAACAGATATAATGCTTGAAGATTGGCTCACTAGAGGGAAGTATTTGCACAGGAGGAAATGGGGGGCAGTGTTCAGGGGAACAGCGTGTGTGATCCCTGGAGGTCGGGAAGCACCCAGTGTGGTTGGAGGAGGGTGACAGCTCTGCTGCTGTGTGCTCCAGCTCTACTTCTCCTCATGCACGTTTTCTTTCTTTTATTCATCCCATCTGTTTTTCTCTTTCTCTCTTCCCATTTCCCAGGCCAAGAGCCAGCGAAACAGAGGACACTTCTGTGTTTCCAGTACACGCAGGGAGGGCTGCAGAGCCCCACCGCTCTGGGTCCTCACTCAGCCGATGCCCAGCAGGGTGCCCAGGGAGAGGAAGGTGAGGAGAGAGGAAGGCTGGGCCCAGACTCAGAGGCCTGGGGTGCCCAGCTACGGGGTTTGGGGGCCGCTGGAGGATGCTAACAAGGAGAGGATCATATCAACCTGAGAGAAGAGGGACAGATGGGGCTGGCAGAGAGGTGACATGGGGTGTTGAGCCAGGGTGGAGGGTGAGGACAGGGGAGGCCCAGCAGCCCATGGGGGGTGTGGTGGGGGCAGTCTCAGGGAGCAGGGGCTCCCTCATTGTCTGAAATGAGGCCAGGTGCTGATGATGTTGTGCAAAGCCTTCCCAGGAGACAGGGTATTGCTAACGTCACTGTGCCCCACCAGAAGGTAGTTGGGGCTCAGGTACCCCTTGTCCACCGCACACTGGATCAGGGTCTGGGCCGCCTCCAGTGCCATGGCGTTGGGGGGCTTTTCTGCAAAAGACAGATGGCCCACCAGTTATAGGATTCCAGGGCGCCCTGCCCAGGGAAGGACCCACTCCTGGATACCCCCCGAGCCCACACCCACCCCCAAGCTAGTATCTCCACTGTTGGCAGCCACCCTACACAGACAGACAGAAAAGCAAGTCAAGACTTGAGACCCCTGAGCTCCAAAGTTCTTCCTGAACCCAAACAGCAGAGCCTGGGATAAAATATCCAGTGACCCCGGGGTGTACGAAGCCTTTCTCCACTGCAAAAGTTTAATCTGGCACTTCGGTGCTGGGGGGCATCATAGCCCCCTAGGGGACATTTGGAAACATCTAGGGACGTTTTGGGTTGTCACAACTAGGGGAAGGATGTTACAGGCATCTAGCGGTAGAGGCCCGGATGCTGCCAAATACCCTGCGACGCACAGGACAGTCCCCACAACAAACAATGATCTGATCCGAATGTCAACAGTGCTGAGGCTGACACCTCGCTTTAGATACAGGTGAGCTTCCAGCACTTGCGCAGCCCCATCTCCAGGCACATTCCAGAGTCACCCCCTGCCCCACCCAATGCCCATTTCATTATCAGCCTGAACCAGCCCCAGCCACCTGGCCTCCTCTTCCCAGAAGTTCTGCAGTAGGCCCCTGAGTCTAAACAAACTCTGGCCAAGAGCTCTAAGCATGACAGTGTGCACTCCATGTGCAGTCAGGGGCTCGCCCGTCCGTGGCTGTGACAAATGAGGCGAATGTCCCCACACTGTGGTCGTGGCAGTAACTTAGAAAAAAATAGGCACGAAGACTTTTTCTCCTCATCTTACGCGTGCCTTGCCTATTCGAGGAGAGACATTTGATTGGGTGTGAAGGAGGTAGATTTAGGGTAACTTTCTGTGTGGGGGTCACACTTCTGGTCACACTCAACTTAGTCAAACATCCAGTTTGAAGCTGGGTCAATCCAGCAAATGCAGCCACTGAAATGGCGCCTGAGTCTGAGGCTGTTCTCTTTCATATCGGACACTCTCCCTCAAACACCCAGCGACGACCGCAATGTCCACGACTGCTCAAAGCGTCCACCTACCTGAAAAGGTGCCCATGAAGGCCAGTCCCAGGGCGATGTCATCATAGCCAGGAGTGTGGGAGCCTTGAACATTCCAACCCACGCCTTCATAAATGGCGCCGTCCTGGCCCATGAGGAAGCTGCAGGACCGCGAGGAGACATGGAAATCAGCATGAAAGAGAGTCACTCTGGGATGGTTTCTTGCTTTCATTCATTCATGCCTTAACTCATCAGACACTGATTAACGATTACATTACAAGCGCATCACTGCTGCCCCAAGTCGCTGTCTATGAAGAAAAGAGCGACAGCTGTCTATCCCTACAACCTGGCCTTCTTCCACACCTTGTCAATCAAACCCCAAGGGGACCTGTGACCTCCTGAGGACTCAATACAAAGTATACTTCTCCGACCTTGCCTTCCCAGATCTCTGTGCTTGACCCTAAGCACCCTCCCGCCTTCTCAACCATCCCCTCCCCATCGCCTCCATCGCACCACACCCCCCTGGCCGTCTTCTCCGGCTGCTCCTGGTGGGCACTCAGTAAGCGTTAGTTCCCTTTCCCCTTCCTTTCACAGGTTCGGTGTCTGCACACGTGTCCTCAGATCCACTTACTTATACCCAATGTCACATGTGTAGAGTCTATCCATGAACCGAGACTGCATAGTTTGGACCAGCGGACAACACTCATCAGGCGTGTTGCAGGTTCTCTCGGCGGTGTGAATGATGATGACATACTTAGCCGGGACGGTCATAGTGGAGCAGTGGGTTTCCCTGGCCTCCCAAGCAGACCGAGGGACAATGGCGGGGCAAGCTGTATGGGGAGAAAAACATGCACATGAGGATTCGACATGCCACCCCCCACCACCACCACCATGTCCCCTACCTCACCAGTGAGGGCTGATGTAATTCTCAGGATCTCCCAGCATCCACCCACCCTGCAGGCATCCTGACCAGATCCTGGCTGCGGAACCCAGGACAGCCCAGCAGGGGCCCCCCAGGGAATGGGATGTGTCTGCACAGAGGGATAGGACTCAAGAGGCATGAAACAAAGAACCACGGGTTCTAACCCAAAGATACAGAACCCAAAGGACAGTGGGATGTTGACTCTGAGGGGTTGTGGATGCTTTATTCCAAGGACAAAGTGTCCTTATTTATCTTCATGATTGCCGTGTGTGTGTGTGTGTGTGTGTGTGTGTGTGTGTGTGTGTGTAATAGAGCCCTTTTACCCAAGAGCAACGATCAAATTTACTTACAGCTTTAATATTGGGTTGTCAGAAAAAGTCATGACGTATTTTTTCCATGTTTTTTGTTGCAGAAATGCGTCATGACTTTTCCGACAACCCAGTATAATAGCGCTAATATCCCTTAAAACTTGATTAAGTCCAAGAAAAGGCTGAAAGTGCTTATTAACTATACTGGTTCTGATGTTGCTGCTTATTAAACCCCTTTTATCTTCCTTTTATCACCTGAATTAGTTTCAACTCCTCCTGTGAAGTCAGTGTAAGTGGAGACGTAAGCTCTTTAGACTATGGCTGTTGTCCTACCTTTTGTTCAGAAAGATGTGTGTCTGTGCTTCTGTGTTTGTGTCAGATGCCTGCCCTCTCCCTGGTTTTCCCTCCCCAGCACTTTTCACCAGAAAACGTAAGAAATATTTTGCTTGTTTATTTGCGTAGTGGTTTTCTCACCCCTCTAGACTGAAGTCTCATGGGGGCGCTGCTGTGGCATGTTTTGTTCACTGGCATAGCCTCGGTGACAAGCAGGTGCCCAGTAAATAATTGCTGAATGACCAAAGGAATAAAAAAGGTACAGCTATCACAGTGGGCATAATGCCACAGCTCTAATATTCTAGGAACCTGAGGGACAAAGAGGTGACCTGGAGGGTCCCTCTCAAGGTTTGCCAGCCCTAAAGTTTCAGGGAGTTGGTGACCAGTTGCCTATTAGCAGGAACCCAGTGACAGCCTGACTGAAAAGGTCACTCCAGGTGGCATTTGGAAGTGACTGGGGAAGGAGTCTGGAGGGACACCCAGTGAGGTTGAAGGTCTTACCTTTCTTGGGACTAGCCGTCTGCCGAGGGGCCAGGCAGTTCTCGCCTTTCACAAGAAATGGCTGAACGTACAAGGGTGACAGGTGGCCTTTCTGGACAGCATAGGAGATCAGGCCCTCCATGGCACAGAGGGCAGCAGGGCTGGGACTGTGGCCTACAAGAGAGTGACCAGTGGGAAACCTCAGTCTGGCCTGAGTCAGGGGACTGTGGGGAAGGACAACATATCCTGCCAAACCCTACGCAGCTGTTGGAGGGGGACAGAGGGGGATGGGCTCCTCCCCCATGTCCAAAGCCTGAAAGCCAAAGATCTACCTGGACAGAGCTCTCAGTGGTCCAGAATGAAGACCTTTCCCAAAGACACACCAAAACTCATTCATCCTCTCCCGGTGTCCACCAAAGAGCTGCAGGCAACGCCACGCTCAGGGTTTCCCACCGGAAGAGGCCCTTCTGCACGTGTGCCACCCCTTGACCTTCATTAATGGCTTTAATCCTCACCACACACCTCAGAGGTGGACGCTGTTATTAACCCCATTGTTTAGAAAGAGGAACTTGAGTCTCCACGAAGGGAGGAGGTCCCACCACTAACAAGGTGACACCCAGGTGGCAGTAAGTGGTCACAGAAATAAACCACGCTGAGGCCTCTGGGAACCACCCTGGGGCTGGAAAAGGAACATGAGGGCTCATGTTCTGATTCCTCTCCTTACAGCCGTGTCACCTTGGGTCATTTACCTCTCTGAAACTCAGGCTGCACTTTGTATAATAGTGACCCTGAAGCTTCCTGGACGATCTCTAAGGGTATTGGGAGGGGACAATGAGAAACGAGATATCCAAGAACTGTGTTCCCAGTCAAGGGGACATGGATTCCATGATGGTCCTGCAGCCTGTTAGGAGGTTGGAGGGGTGGCAGTAATACTAGGAGAAAGTGGATGGGATTCAGGGATCAGAGGCCTCAAAGTGGTTTTCTAAAATTGCATAGAAAATCTTTTAATAAGAGAGCTGGAAGGAGGAGGCGCCTGGCAGGGAACGGAAAAGCATGGATTGATGCTATGGACGTGTCAGGGCTGGACGGGAAGATGTGACAGCCGTTGACACAGAAGGGGAAGCTGAGGCCCAGATGATTCCAAGACAAGAGCAGGAGGAGAACAAGGCTGTAGAGAGAAGGGGGGACAGCGCCCCCACTGTGAGGAAGCCAGAGAAGGGAGTCAGGGCGCGAGGAAGGCCGTCGGCGCGCCCCGTCATGAAAGTCAAGGGTGGGGCGAATCCCAGGAGACAGAGGGTCACAGGGAAGCATGAGAGGGGAGGAGGCAGCAGGTAGCTCTTCGGAGAAGGGCGGCGGGGATGACCATCACCTTCCTTGGTGCCGAAGAAGGCGAGGCCCAGGGAGATGTTGTTGTAACCCGGGGTGTGCATGCCTTGCACGTCCCAGCCGACGCCTTCGTACACCCTGCCGTCGTCCCCAACCAGGTAGCTGTGGAGCAGGGAAATACGGGCTCAGGGGCTGGCAGTGGCACCTGCCTGCGAGAGGAACCACTTCCTTCCCTCCTGAGGGATGATGGCTCGAACCACAGTCACTGAAGGGAATTTGTGTGGACTCGTCCCAGACGGCGGCTAAGCTAAGTCATGCATATGTGTCCTTAGAATTCCGAACGCTCCCTTCTTTGGACGCCCGGGTTTTCTCATATTCAGAAGGAGAAGAGGTCCGGAACTAACACACACCCAAGCGCACAAGGTAAGATTCTTTCTGCCTCCACGGATTCCTTGAACACGGCTCCCTTCCTTCCTCCACGTTGCATGCTTCTGGGTTGTCTGTGGGATGTCTCCCTCCCAGGGCACCTGTCTTACAAAGACTCCCCCAGACGCGGCACCTCCAACAAGAACATGGATGCAGGCAGCGCATTTGGGAGGAGATCCCAGAAGCCACAGGGAGGAAGCAAGAAGAATGGGACAGAAGGAAGGAACCCGGCAAAGTGTGGGAATTGGGCTGGCTTCACCATGGCCACCCGGGGCTCTGTCCCCTGCACCATCACTACCAGCCCCACACGTGACCTTCCAAGGAACATGTACTTGCACCTTAGAATTGTCCCTCAGAGGGGCTGGGGGCTGAGGAAGTTGTGCACAACTCCTGATGTCCAGGGGACAATACTTCCCTTCACCGTGCAGGACTTGGGTGAAAGCACGGAGCAGGAATCAGAGAGATGTGGGCACTTGAGGCAGGAAACCATCGCCATGCACAGAAATTAGCGAAAGTCACAAGCGGGCTGAGGACACGTGGTCCTGGTCACCAATAGGGTCTAGTAGAGTGACCATCAGGGTGAGAGATGGACGATCACCTCACCAAGGTGGAAGCCCATACATGTGGTATATTGGGCACGCAGGGGACAAAGAGACAGTTCTAAACCACTGTGGGCTCCACAGTTGTCACACAGCTGTGTGACTTTGAGGAAATCAACCTCTCTACCTTGGTCCCCTTGCCCATAGCATGGAGATGGTAACGCTTGCCCTACCGACCTCCCATGCTGTTGGGGAGCAAACACACTCGGGTCGTGGAAGTCACCCCTAAGCTGCAGTGTGCTGTGTCAATCGGGCTCCGATGGGGTTAGTACTTAACCTTCCTTTCAGGAGACCTCAGCGTCAAGGATCTCACAGAAAATCCCAAAGGACCTGGAGTTTTCACAGGGTTTTTAAAATATTTTGTTCATGATAAACCTGATGTAACCTCAACCCAGAAAGTCAGAAAATCGAATGAGAAGGGACCGGGGGGCAGAGGGCCCTAAGGAGCAGCTCCGACCTCACACCTCCCCGTGTCCCCAGCCCAGCCACGTACTTGTAGGCCACGTCACACCAGTTGTTGCTGTGCACGTGCTGAGTCTGCAGCTCCCGCAGCCTCTGACCACAGACAGTCTGGTTGTGACACTCCAGTCCAGGGACGTGGTGCATGATGAGGAAACCCACCGGCGTGGTCAGCCGGGGGCTGCAGCCCACAGCTTCTGCCCCCCACTCCTTGCGAGAGACCACAGTGGCGACATCTGTGGGGAGAACCGCAGGAGGGGGATGTCACTCAGCACACCTTGCCTATTGTCGTCACATCAGCCCCAGGAGGTGGCCTGTGCCATTCTGGGCTGTGTCTGTCCCGTGCTGGTGAGGAGCCTAGGAGGAGGCCTTCAGCAGCAGTCATACCCCCTTCTCCCCTCCACACTCCCATTTCACCTCCACTCACCCCCACACAGAGTCTGCACCTGCACAGAGAAGCCTGGATGCTTTGCTCACTCCCAGCTGTCCCCACCCTGCAGCTCCCCCGTCCCTGCTCCAGGACCTCTGCTTAGGAGCTTCTCACCCCCGCTCTGGGGAACACCCTGAGCGCCTTGCCCTGAGCCCCCCTCCGATCTCACGTCAGCACTGATGCCCACCGACCGTGTGCGCAATCCTGACAGCCTTCTCTGTGACTCTGACTGAGTCCCTGTCCTGCCTAGGTGCTCCCTGAGGGGCTCCATCTCCTCCTCAGCCTGGGGGCTCCCTCCAGGCAGAACCTGGGTAGGGAGGGTGTGGAGGGGGGTGGGTCTCCATCCTCAGGCTAGGGGCCCCTGAGTGCAGTGACAGCCTCTCCCCTTGCTTGTTTCTGTCCCCTCCAGGCACCACCCAACCCCAAGGGCTATGGTAATCTGTGCAGGTGGTTTGCCGGTGGCCCTCTCTGCCCCACCTGCCCCCATCCCAGTCACAAGTGGTTGTTTCAGTCTCAGAGACACCTGGTCACGTGACAAACCCCAGCGGTCCACAAGCTTCCTGTCCATACAGACCCAGTCTGCCTTTTCCTGTGAGCTGGGAGATGTTGGTAAACAGGTCCTGGAGCCTCTCCAACATGTCTTTGGTTTGTGCTTTATCCCAGGAGACATCACCTGCAAGGGGACAGTCCATTTTGCCTGGGTCCTCAGAGAGCCCGGTGCCAACCATCTCAGCACGTAGCCTCGGGCCAGGAATGGCCGCCCCCTCCTCGACCCCTCTGCCTCCCCAGGTCCCCTAGCCCCTCCAGGAAGCCCTCTGTGCCGCCCAGAGGACCCCTCCAACCGCAGCACCTGGTGTGCTTTCTCCAACCAACTTCCCGTCACCCTACAGGGGGTTAGTTCCACAGCTAGGGACAGGGAATGGGAATGTCACCCTTTTCCCAGGAACTTTCATTGACAAGCACAAAGCCTGTCATAGGTCATAGGTTAGACGCCGGTCAACATAATAACACCACCAACAGAATCACTGCTCCTGTTCCCCAAAGGCGGAGTCCTTCCTGCACACCATCTCCTTTCATCCTCACGATAAGTCCAGGAGACCGTGGCCTTGTCTCAATTTTCAGGTGGGAAAATTAAGGTTTAAAGAGCTAAATAACTCGTTTAAAATCACTGCCGGGGCAGGGCAAAAATTTGACCCCAGGTCTACAGACTCCAAGCTCTGGGCTCTAAATGCAAAGCTACCCTTCCTCCCTACACGAGAGTCAGCATTTAAAGAAGAGACTTCAGGATGACCCCGCTCCGTTACTCTCTGATCCAATGAAGGAAAACTCACCCCGGGCCCCGAGACCCACAGTGGACAAGACCAGAAGCCACGGCAGCAGCATCACGTGGTCCTGGACAGCGACGGGGAGAGCGTGGACCGTGGCCTGGGAGAGGGGCAGACGGTTAATCCAACCCTGTTCACTCCTCAGGCACCAGCCCCACTGCATGGTGCCCTGTCTGCCTCCCGCCAAACGTGGGCCTCCTGAGGGCCAGCACCTAGCCAGGCTTCTCAGGGTCCCCCGCACAGGTCAGCTGCTCATCGGATGGGTAAACACCCTCATCCTCTTATTCATTTCATTGAGGGACTACTCTGTGCAGGACACTAGAACGTGCAATCGTATTTCATCCTCACGCTAACCCCACAGGGTCAGCTTGCAGACCCCCATTCTCATAGAAGAGGGGCCGTAAAATCCAGGAACACTAGATCCAACATGAAACACACACATGAATGGGTCCAGTGCAGAGACCTCTTCCCAGTTGGGAGCGGTGTGGGGAGAGAGGGGTGTAGGAGTGGGCGGTCCCCAGTTCTAGGGCAGAGGAAATCTCCTCATCTTAACACTCCCCCTGGTGGAGTCCAGATCCTTCGATGGGAGAGGGTTTCCCAGGAAGAAACACGCACACTCACACTCAGAAATACCTTGGGTCCCGTGCAGCTCAGCGTGCCGGCAGCTCCCCACTTTCACACTTGGTCCCTGGCCCCGCTGCCTCCTGGGCCTTCACTCTCCCTGCGCTGGAGGCCACTCCCTCCCAGGAATGCAGCCTCAGGCTCTGGCTTCCAGGAGAGAAGAGGGAAGTTGGGCTCCTAACAAAAGGTGGAGAGGACAAGGAGGGCCGAGCTCCCAGGCTCCGTCCACAGCACCGAGAGGAGCTCCGGTGAGACTGGACTCAGGCTGAGAGCTGGGACCCGCCCTCTGATTAAGCCCAGGTGCCTCCTCCCTGGGAAAGGGCGCGATTGCCCAAGCTCCCAGAGCTGCTGCCTCATCCCAGCTCTCAGGAAGCCCAGCCAACGTGGGGGTGCCCCTGGGACCTGGGAGCCTGTCCCACAACTGGGGACTTCCTGCCCTGGAGACAGATCTGCTCCGGGACATGGAGGCTGTGGGTGGAGGTCCCTCAGCAACACCCCACCCCCTTCCACTGGGTCACCAGCAGGGGCAGGGTGGGGACAGAGAAATAGAAACGTACATGCCAGGAGACAGCTGTTATTCTGCCCCTGCAGTCTGTATGTCCATCATCCCTCATCCTGCCACACCCCCACCCTCAGCATCAACTGTCACCCACCCAGGAAACCTCCCACAAGCCAGCAATCTCCAGCCCCTCACCCACTTGCAGCTCAAGGCCACGTTACAGTCATCACCTAACCTGTCCCACGCTCTGTAGTTTGGTCTCCTGAAGGCCCTTGAATCTTCACAGAGGAAACTCCACATGACGTTCTCATGAATGCAATAGGACATGTGTCTCCTCGGGGACCAGCCAGGGCTGTGCCCTCCCCTGAGACTGTGGAAGGGACCCTTCTGAGGGAACGCCCCGTTCCAGACAGGCTGCCCTAGCCAAGCCGCGGTCTCCCCCTCAGGCCTGGAGTCCCCAGAACAGCCCCTGGGAAGAGCTCCTTTGAAGGCACCCTGGTTCCCCATACTGTTCTCCCCCCGTGGATGCAGCAGGCCCAGGGCTGGGGAGAAGGGCCTGGGAGGGAGCACCTGTGGAGGAGCACTGAGGACGCGTGTGCAAGGGGGCAGGCCTGGAGACAGAGGTGAAAGAGATGAAGGGGACCAAGGCTGTGGGGACCCCGGAGGTTGCAGCCATTGGGGACTGGCTGTTTCTCCATGCCTGTGCCTCCGCTGGATGCCAGTCCAACTGGCAGGAAACCGCCTACAATGAGAAGGCCTGTGGGCCGCCTCTGCCTCCGCCTTTGGGGCATCAAGTTAGGGAGTTGAGGAGGCTTGGAGGACCGGAAGCCCTTCCAGGAGAGACTTGGTGGGGGCTGCCTAAAACAAGAGGGGAAGCAGGTAGAGACCAACCAATTCATGGGGATTAATGGGCCGAGGGGCTCCCAGAGGCAGACGTCTGTTCCGAGCGAGAGCGTCAGGAGGAGGGAAAAGTGCACTTAGGACTCAAAGCCTAACAGGCCCTGCTAAGTTCCGAGTGACCTGGCACTGGTCACCCTTGCCAGCCGCCTCTCACCTCTCTCGGCCAAGTGCACCCCTCCTGAGTGCCCTTGCCTCGCTCCTCACCTGGGCCTGAGGCTCCGTTTCAGCCTGGCTTCTTCCAGAGGCTTCCGTGAGTAGCGGTGACTAGTCAAGCTTCAGAGCCCCCTCTTCTACGCAGAACTCATCATAAATGCTAATGATGTGATTATCACCTCCATGACAGCAGCTGCCAAGCCTGGCACAGCAGAGTATGCTGTGGAGAGGTGTAAAAACAAGGAAGAAAAAAGAAAAGCGGGGAGGCCCACAAGCACACTTCAAGTAACGCACAGCCCAAGGCAGTGGTTCTCAAAGAGTGGTCCGGGGAACCTGGGGGTCCCCAAGATCCTTCAGGGGCTCCATGAGGTCAACACTATTTCCAGGGTCATATATCACCGTGCTGATATTTACACTGATGACACAAAAACAACGGGACATAAAGCTGCTAGTGTCTTGGCTAGAACCAAGAGATGGCACCCAACAGCTCTAGCAGCCTCTGAGTTCCTCACAACGTGTTCTTTCAAAATGAAAAGGTTTCCCTTGAGAATGTTCTTGATGACGCAGTGGAAATTATGCATTTGATGAAATCACAGCCATGGCTGCCTCAAGGAAGAGCACTGGTGTGATCGAGTGGTGAGCTGAACTAGCCCCTTTTCTCATGGAACTCCATTTCCACTTGAAAGAACAAATAGTAGCCAAGCCGTGGCTATTCATGCTAGGGTATACACGTGGCAGGCATTTTCTCGAAAATGAACAGAGTGAAATGTTCACGTCAAGGAAAACAACCAATGGGATTTGTTAGCGTAACAAATATGGAGCGAGCTTTCAAGCAAAAATTAGAATTTTGGAATATTGTGCCTGCCACCATGAGTATGACAATTTCCCAATACTTACAGACTTTTCTGATGAGATCAATGGTGATAGTAATAAAAGTCATTACATATATATATATATATGTATATATATATACATATATATATACATATACATACATATATATACATGTATATAATATATATTAGATAACGAAATGTGTCAGCATTTGGAAGATGTGTATAACTTAGTGAATCAATGTTTCCCAAATGACCAATACATGAAGTTACAAAGTCATGACTGCATAAAAGACCTATTCAAATTTTATGCTCAACCAATGAATTCTAATATAACAGAGTACAAAGGGTTTGTTGATATGGTTTCAGGTTCTACATGGCAAGTAACCTTTAAGAAACCCCCACTTGTTGAGTTTTGGTGAACTATTAAAAAAGAATATCCACAATGATTTTTAAAGACTATTCATATACTTTCCCTTTTCCAGCTACTTATCTGTGTGAGGCTGGACTTTCTTCATATCTTCCACCAAAACAACATATATAGCACATTAAATGCAGAAGTGGACATGAGAATCCAGTGATTTTATTTTAAGCCATAGAGGTGTGCAAAACTTTTTAAAATTACATCACTCTTCTCACTACCTTTTTAAAAATATAATTATTTTGTATTTTTTAATGTGTTAATATGTAATGGGTTTACTAATACTACTTTAGGTGAATTAATAAGTACTTCAATTTTTTTAATGTCTAATGTTGTAAATATTAATATATGTAACCCACATAAACAAAAGCTCTTTGGGATACTGAAAAATAATAATTTTTCAAGTGTGAAAGGGTGTTGAGAACAAAAAGGCTGAGAGCACCGGCCAAGGCATGCCACCGGCTGTGCTGATGCAGGTTGGCCACAAGGGGGCAGCACGCACTCTGCCTTTCGCCTACAGGACTCGCCCGATCTCCATTGCTCCTCCCGGCTTCCGCCGTTTCCTCTTTCTCTGTCTTCTCCCAGCTGCACAGCTTTTTAATCACAGGAAAAAACAATCTTCTAAACATAGGTTCCATCAAAACCCAGTCAGTCACATATTAATCTGCAAACGCTTATCAGATGTCTGTCATATGCAGAGCTTATCATCCAGGGCTGAGTAAACATGAGAACCCCCCACTCTCAAGGAGTTAATAACCCAGTGAGGGAGACTGACTCAAAGGCCAGTAATTAGAGTGCCAACCTGGTAATGTGTGACAAAACCCTTCCTTCTCTATAAAGGGCTGTGTACTTCCAAAGGATTCCAGAGAGTCAGGGGAAGCCATCAGCAGGCCTAAAAGCCGGCTGTTTCCACCACCTCACTTAATTCATAAGAAATTAGGGCCCCAGACGTGGAAATCACTACCAAAGCCCCCCCCCAGCAGACCCGGCAACGCTAGAACTACAACCCAGCTGTCAGCCCCTCAGTCCACTCCAACTTTCAACCAGGGTCCCTCCCATAAGCTACAGGATGCAGAGCGCGCGGAAGCCCCCGCAGTGTGCCCGGTATCACACCCCCGCCCTAACACCTGGTGTGATGTTGGCAACTTAGAAGGAACAGGATTCCCCAAGGACAGCAGCAGGCTGCAGCGAAGGGGAAAGGCACAGACTGGCTCTTGGTCCTGGGCAGGGGTGGGCGCGTGGGGAAAGTGGGGGTGGGGAGGTGGGCGGGAACTCCATGATGGGATTAGGGCTGCAGGGGCTCTGCCTACTCACCTGTGTGCGATTTGTTTCTAACACAGCCCAGGAAGCCAGACCCTTTTCTCCCAATGGCCACCTCCAGAGGCACTGTTCAGAACCCGAAAAAGATGCCCCAATTCATGCCCTAGCAGGAGGCCCTGAGTTTCCCCAGGAGATGACCCCACTTCCCACCACCCCTATCCCAACCTCTGGCCTCGGTTGGCAGTGAGGAGGCTATTGATAGAGCCAACAATACCCTGCCCTAGTCAGCCCTGGCCTCCCCCGAGTCCAGGCTAGCCTCCGGACCATGGGGCCTGCTGTGGCCCCCAGATGAGAGGGAACCCACAGCCAACATGGGATGCCATTTGTTTCCAAGCCCGGTCTAGCCGCTCACTGCCGCCAGCTGCTGACCGTATTCACCCCACTCCCACCCTCATGTTACTTTCATGTGGAATCAGCACGCTGTAGTGACAGCCCGTGGCTCTGCAGAAAGTCACAGGACAACAGACCAGTGTTCATTTCACACTCACTCATGACTTCGTGTATCCGTGCCCTCCTTTATCTATTCAATCAACAAATGCTCAGCCACGCCACCCCCATCCCCCTACCCCGGAGCCAGGCTCAGTCCGGAATTGCCGAAGCAAGTCACCCAGCGACACAGAGAACTCCGAGAAGCCGCGGAGGTGACACACCGCCTGCCCGCAGTCAAACTTTGTCCCGCACACACCATGCTTCACTATTAATGTCTTTATTTCCCTTTAAAATTAGGTGACACCTTTGAAAAGCAGGCGTTCTCACATAAAAATTCAGGTGCCCCGGACCTTCGGGAGGTCCAGCAGCACCTGGTCCCCTTTCCCACGTGGCCGCCCTGGCCTGGGGCCGAGTACCAGCTGTCCCCCCAAGTTAGGATTGCTCCCATTCGCCACAGTCTCCACCACCTCCTAGTGTCCCCAACCCTGAGGCCCCGCATCAGTAGCCACATCACCCTGCAGGTGACGTTCGCCAGTTTACTCTCCTTGTTCCTGAAAGCTGAGTCTGAGATCCTTGGTCCAGAGTGGAACGTGCTGCGGTAGAGGCAGCAGAGGGCGCTGTGGGCTCACACAGCAGAGGTGCGCAGGCACCTGCACCAACTGCCTGAAACAAGAGATTTCCTAACAGCCTGAGGAGGAAGGGCAGCTTGCCGCCCAGTGTGCTTCCTTCATCAGATCAAACAATAGAGGGCCCCTGTTGGGGGATGCCCCTGAAGTTTCCAATCATGTATTCCTGGGCCCCACCCGCACTGTCCATGTATTCATAGATGATCTGCTCATTCATGCAAGCACGCATTCCACAAGCATTCATTAAATACTTGCTGTGTGCTTGGCACTGTGCCAGGCCCTATCCTTAGCTCCCAAGAGTTCAAATGTGACTAGGAATTCAGGATATAAGGTTATGGCTCCCCCATGTATTGTGACTCCCTCACCAAGTTCCCCCAGCATCTGGCACATAGTAGGTGCTCAACCAATGCTTGTATGAATGCATGAAAAGATAACCAATAACACCTCTTATTTGTTGAGCTCTTCCAGCTTTACAAGTACTGTCTCAATTCTCAAGGTAGGTCCTGTAATGACCCTACTTTACTGATCGAGAAACTGAGGCACAGAGAGGTTAACAGGCCGGGTCACACAGCCAGTCTGAACTCTCAGCCACTATTCCATGTGCCATCTCAGCAGTGCAAGATGGGGTGTGCTCAGAGCCAAGGTATAGCACACGCGTGGGCTGCCTCAGGCTTCCAGAGGGCAGAGTGGGGGTGGGGGGGCCGGGGTGGTAAGGGAAGGCTTCACGAGGACTGGACGAAGGACTGGGAGCGGTGGCAGAGGACACCTTCCCTGATGAAAGCGGGGAGGCCAGAGGTTGGGGTAGGTGCCTACATTTGGTCCTCTAGACACGCTTCCTGGGTCGAAGGGTGAGGGTGCCAGGAAGGACGCAATCCTTCAGCAAACGTGAGGTCTCCCGGTGCCAAGGCCTGGATGGACATGAACATGAGTAAGAGCTCCCCCTGAGGACCCACAGGCCATGATCAGACAAAGGCAAAATAGGTGAATAACTTCGCTCCAGAGAGGGTGAAGGTGAGAGCCAGAGCGGTATGGGTGTCATTGTCCGAGGAGAGGGACTGTCCCCATTGGGAAGAACAGAGCAGGTTCTCTGGACCAGGTAGCATTTGAACGGGGGGCGGGGAAGGACTGCACCCTATAGTGAAGGAAGGGCATTCCTGGGGTGACAGCACCGAAAGCAAAGGGCTGAAGGTGCTCAATGGGCCCTGGCGTAGGGGGCCCAGGGGCGGGGGTGGAGCTGACCAGGCAGGGTGGGGAGCTTTGCGCCTGGGCTGAGCAGCTCAGCCTTCTCCCCCGGGTGATGGGAGGTTTGCAACTAGGGAGGGGCAGGTCTTGCCCAAGAGGCCACATCAAAACAGTTGTCTTTAGGTTGTAAGCTCCTCGAAGGTGTGGCTGCCCCAGCGGGATTTAGAGGAGTAATGCTGACAGCTTCTAGAGACATTTAAGCCCTGAGGGTCTCTCACTCAGACGGCAACAGGGAAATTTAATCCAAGTCACCCTTAACCAGGAACCAGGATGTCTGGGCCCAACTCCTGACAGGTCACCAACCAGCTATGTGACCTTGCTCAGGGTATCGGTTTCTTCATCTGCAATACAAGGGGCTTGAGCACCCCAAGGGCCCTTCTGACCCCAACTCAGCCCCCACATCCCCCACCCCATGAACCTAAGAACCCCACATCAACCCCTCACCCTCCCAAGAGCACAGACCCGGGCAGGCAGGGGAAGCCTCAGACAGCCTTGCTGGGCTGCCCACATGGGGTGGGGGGTGGGGGGGCAGAGTGGGTCAGGCCCCTCAGGGGTCCTCCGCCCACCACCAGCCCCTGGCTAGCACAGATGGGAAGGTGCCACCTCAACAGGGCAGGGGGAGGGTGGGATGCCAAAGGAGGGGCAGCTTGCTGGCTGGGTTCAGGGAGGGCAGGGGTGTGGAGTGGAGGGGAAGTGAACTAACCAACCAGCTTCCTCCCCAACCAGCTCCAGGCCCGGGACTGGGGACTGGGAATTACACAAAAAGGCAAAAGGATCTGTGTGAACATTTCCTGTCACGCCCCATCCCCCTTTCCTGGCAGTGACAGCCCAGCTCGGGGTTACCACACTGTTCACCTGTGATGCAATCTGCCCACTAGAGGGCTGCGAGTCCTGACCAGGGGTAGCCTATAAATGCTGGGCCCACACAGCACTGTCAAACCCCTCTGTGTGACTTCTCGGCTTGGGTGAGTGAGCTGCCAGCTTCCCTGGGCAGGAGGCTGCCTGCCTGCCTGCCTGCCGACTCTCACTTTACTCCCCCTGCATCTTTCTTTCAAACCCTCCTCCTGGAAGCCCTCCTTGATTGACCCGCTCACTTTAAAGCTTCCTTCACATTTTCTAGGTCTTGTTCTGCTGGAGCCTCCTGTTCTCAAATGCTCTGATTTGGGGCATTTTCCAGATATTCTACACTTACAGCCATTTCTCACATGTGAGGGACAGTCATCTCCTAGTTCTGTTCCAGCCCACAGCTTCCTTTTTATTCTGTTTCCCTTTTCATACCTGAGAGCAACCAGTAGGAGGTGTCAGGGAAGCTTCTGGCCTTTTCTTCTAAGCACTGACTCCTTGCATCTCCTCTGCTCAGACAGACCCCAGGAACATAGAGGACAAAATGTCGTCACTGATGGAATGCAGCTTTGAGACCATCATTAACATATTCCACCAGTACTCCGTGCGCCTGGGGCACCCTGACAGGCTGAACCAGAGAGAGTTCAAACAGCTGGTGAAAAAGGAGCTGCCCAACTTCCTCAAGGTAAGGCTGGACTCCCGGTCTCCATCTGGGCTGAGGAGAGAGGGTGGCGTGCAGTCTGCAATGGTCAAGGAGGAAGCCCTAGCTTTCAGCCCAGCCTCCGGAGGCAGGGGGCGCCCTGTCACTGGAGGGGCTCCAAGTTAGACAGACGGCAGTGACAGAATCAAGAAAGACTGACTGACACCGTGCTGTGTGCCAGGCCCTGTCCCAGGCAAGGGCGTGTGGTGGCAAACAAGGACCCAGCGTCCTGATGGGAGAGACACACAGCAAAGATGGTGACCAGTAAAGAGCGCAGATAAACCCAATGCCAGTATGTGCCCGAAAGAAATAAAGCGAGACTGCTGTGTGGGGGTGGGGCCGGGCAGGGCAGAGGTGACTGACTAGGTAGGTGGGTAGGAAGGGCCCCTCCGAGATGGTGACATTTGAGCTGAGACCCGAAAATGGAGGAGGAAGCAAAAGCCACGGAGACAAAGCCTCGGGTGGACTCAGGGGACAAGACCTGAGGGGGTTCTTCTGATCAGAAGGATCTCTGGTAGGAAACAAACAGACAGCACGTGGGAAAGCCCCGCCCAGCACTGACTGGCAGGTACACAGCGCTCAGGATCGTGTACCCGCATTTACCCATCGGAAAATGACTAGTGCAGTTCTAGGGAAAAGGAGGGTTCGTTCCACTAGACCTCTTGGGTTTCTTTACAAATTTGGGGACTTTGAGGGAACAGGGGCCTGGACTAAAAAGGGTGGGACACCCAGGTCCCAGCCTCAGTTGCATTCCTGGGGTAGGTGGCCAGCCCTCCCTAGAAGTTCTCCCCACCTCTGTGGGTGGAGCAGTGCAGCAGTCGGAGATACTCAGGATGCTGACAGCTCCCTGCAGGTGCAGACCTCAGCGAGCAGGACACGCTGGGCCAGGGCAGGCAAGAAAGGGCACAGCAGCCCAGAGGTAGTGCTGGCAAGGTTTCCTCTGTGCAGGGCCTGGGCCCGCCCATCCCCCCGCCCCCACCCTCTGCCAGAAGCAGAGTGACAGGCCAGGAGGGGAACTTGGGCCCTTGCCAATGGGCTGCTCAGAGCAACTGTTCCTCCCTGGGGGCATGGCAATACTATAGAAAACCAGACCGAGCGGAGACCCTGCCGGAGCAGCGGAAGGGCCTGGGAGGTGAGCTTGGCACCCACGGGGTCCGGAGGGGACTTAGCTGAGGCGCCCCAGCCAGCGCGTGGCATGGCTGGGACCCGCCGGAGCTCGTCTGCCTCACCTGGATCCTCACCTCACCTTGCGTTCCCCTCACACTCTATCACACCCTTTGGGGTCAGCGGGGACCCACCCTGCTCTCTGTCCCTCCACTAGAGCCCAGTCATCTTGTTTTCCTCAGGTGCTTCCCGTTACACAGGTTGTAATGAGCGTCACTAATTTGCAGGGAAGGGAGGGAATGAGACAAGACTGGGCTCAGAGTCAGATCTGGGTTGTAGGTGGAATAAATGGGCACGTAAACAGTGCATCTGCCACATTGTGGGCACTCAGTCCATGGTCATTTTTAATTTTCGAATTGAGGCCCAGGAGCCGGGTTTCCCTGTGCTTCTGCCGTCGGGTCATTTGCTGAGCTACCGGCCCTGGCCCCAGCCCTGGCCGCACCCAGGCCTGACCACCCTGTCTCCCCACCTACAGAAGCAGAAGAGGAATGAGGCAGCCATCAACAAGATCATGGTGGAGCTGGACACAGATGGAGACAAGGACCTGACCTTCGAGGAGTTCGCCGTCCTGATTGGCAGGCTGACGGCGGCGTCCCACGAGGAGATGCACAGGACCGCGCCCCCAGGGGAAGGCCACAGCCACGGGCCAGGTTTCGGGGAGAGCACTGGCACGTGCCAAAGCCAAGGTGGCCCCGGCCAAACCCAAGATGGCCACGGCCATGGCCACAGCCATGGTGGCCACGGCCATAGCCACAACCACTAATCAGGAGGCCAGGCCACGCTGTCCCTGCCCATCTAGGGCCCCAGGGCTGCATGCCACATCGCCTCAGCTGCGGGGCTGGGGACAGGGGTGAAATAAAGTGTTCCTCCAAGCCAGCTTTCTCTCTGCATGTTCTTCCACCCCCTTCTCAGCCTGTCCTGCCCAGGGGGGTCTGGTTTACACAGCCCTGGCGTTGACTGGGACTCAACCCTTTCATTGATAATACCAAGACGAGATGCCGCCATAACGTGGGTCTGTTCTCAGCCCCTTGAGTTCCTCTCCCCGGACATTTCCTCACTCTGACCTCAGGCCCTCCTGCCCAGGTCCCAGTCACCCCACCCCAGCTCAGCACTACCCTGTCCAGCCTGTCAGATTGACCCTTGTCACCACAGAAAGCAAAAAGGGCGTACCCCATGCCCTCAACATGCCAGCCCCCTCCTCCCACCCACCCCCCCCCCAGCTACGAGCCCTTGTCACCCAGTGCTGTCCACACAGCCATTTCTCTCCTAATGGGAACTAATTCCCCTGCAAGTCTCCAGATGCACACTGGACAGGCCGTGTCTGAGGGGGTACGGCAGTTTGGGCAGTGGGGACAAGGACAGATGGCTGTGTTTACCCACAAATGAGCTCTGAATCCACGGGAGCAGAGGGTGTCTATTAAATGAGGTGTCTCTCACCCTCCCCAGGGACCCTGGGGCTGGTGCACACAGGAGTGCAAGTCAGGGCATCCGGCCCACGCCCACCAGTCCCATGAGGAGGTTGGACTCTGGGTCCAGAGGGGCTTTAGGGCCTGAAGATTCTGGTTCTAAGGCTTGCAGGCAACCCCACCCCCTCCCTTTCCCCGAGGTGACTGAGGTTCCTCCATCCCTGTCAGCAGCTGAGGGCTCAAGCCAGCAGGGACACCTGCCTCTCTGCAAAACCTGCAGCCTGGCCTGGGTCCCAGCTCCCCGCCTCCAGAGGCTCCCACACCCAACGCTCACTTCAGACACATCCAAGCGACTGACTCCTCTGCCGTCTGCCCCGGCCCTCTGGCCTGATAGCATCACCATAAGGTCCCATTCCCAGGTTATCACTAGGCTGGGGTGGGCCTTCCCACAACCAGAACCCAAATCAAGGGTGTCTGCCCTGCCCTGTCCTTCCAGCAGAGAGAAGATGGCGGAATTAGAATCAGGGGTAGCTGGAGAGAGACTGCCCGTCTTCTATGCCCCAGTCTATCCCCCACATTACAAACGTGGAAAGCCAGGCACAGTGGGGAAGGGACCAGCCCAGAGTCCTACCCTGGTAGAGTCGGCCAAGCCAGAGGAAAGGGCTTGAAACCTATCTTCCCCATGGGCTGTGCCTCCCAGCTGCTTCCTGGCGCTGAGGGGAACGGAGCTGCCGGATCAGAGTACCTCTCTCCCACACTGCCTGGCGCCCCCGGCCATGCAAACCCCTGCTCTGAGGCCCCAGGGGCCTCTGCTGTGGGTGCAAAGATATAAGGGCTTCCACTTGAGGGCATGAGGGTTTTTCCAGGAACCGCTCTAGGCTGTGAACTTGGGGAGCAGAGTTTAGAAGCCCCCAGCCCCTTCCCTGCCTAACTTGAAGACTCCGCAGCTGGGGACACTCCCCTCCTGACAGCCCTGATCCCTCACCCTCATGTCCGGGGAGGGGTCACCCCTTCTGATTGCAGCTTAGTAGGGGGAAGAGAGCCAGTTTGGGAGTTGGGGGGCCAGGGTTCTATCAGTGGCCTTGCCGGGACTCCACACTTCGGGTAACGGAGGGTCGGGTAAGGTTGGGAGAAGGGGGGAGGGTAAGGAAGGGTTAGGGTTTGGGTTAGGGCAGAGTAAGGTAGGGGAGGGTAGGTTAGACTAGGGTAAAGTAGAGTAGGGTAAGATAGGGAGGGAAGGGGCGAGGAGGGGACGGGACCATTACTTATCACAGTGTGCCCCAAATATATTTGTGACTGCCTCCCACTAGATCGTGGACTCTGTGAGGGCCAAGTCCATGACATCTGTCCTATTCTCTGCTTTATTCCCAGAGCCTAGAGTAGTGGCTGGTACGTGGTAGGTTCTCAACCAATATTGACCGACAGATGTCCTCAGACTTCCCACGTGCCCCGTGCTGCTGTGGAGAAAGGAGGGGTGGGATTAAATCCGGTAGATGGAAGGCATCTGGGTATCACCACGGAATCTCCAAATGGAAGGTAGGGGGTAGCGAGCCTTTGTCGAACACTAGAAGCTTCCATTTGAAGGAAGGGATTTGTCTTGAAAAAAAAAGTTTGACAATTGCTGATTTAACCCAACCTGCCCCACCCCAGGTCTGAGCGATTCTCCCCAACAGCCCTGCCCACACTCCTCTAGGAAAGGGCAACTCCTCCTGTGGCAGCAACACTGAGCAAGTCTGTGCTTACACCCAGCTGGAGTCCGTGTCCTCGTGCCTGCCGGGCATTGATGCCAGTCTCCCACCACATCCACGGGGACACAGACTAGACCTAACCCCTTCCATCCGTGCAGCCACCCACCCGCTTCTTCAAAACATTTCCCTCATTGGCATGCAGGCTTTCTCTGGCCTCTGCACCTTTGCACCAGCAATGTTCTCCCCACCCCGGGGTCCCTGTCACCAGCTCCATGAAGGTGTCACCTTCCTCAAGTATACAGGGGCTTCCTCTCTGCCAAGCCCACAGAACTCTCTGAGATTTCTATGGTTGCACTTCCAGGATGGAATTGTAACCCCCTATCAGCAAGTCTGATGACGACAGAGGGCCCTGATTTGTTGCAGATCCCCAGGGACCAGTACGGACCACGCTGTCAGTGTAGGGTGGTCCTAAGCCCCAATGGAGCTGGCGAGTGAGGTGGGAGCTAGTATGGCGGGACGTGAGGTGGGGACAGGCTTGGGCAGCAGGGGCACATCCATGGTCTGGCGACACGTGTGCTGGGAGAGGGTGAGACAGCTGAGCAGCGGGATGGCAGGGCACAGAGCTTCTTAGGTGCCAAGGGTTCTCCCTTTGCCTTATTGCTCTGCTCGCTCTGTCTGAGTAGGAGATTGTCCTAGACCCAGGGGAAGGTCTGACAGCAAGCCACATTACACAGCCCTGCGGGATGTCTGTAAACATGGTTTAAGAGAGCCGGTCTAGGAGAGTTAGCCCCTTCTGTCCCATGAGCCCCGCCCACGCAAAACAAACTGGTTCTGTTGAGCAGAAACGAGCTGACGTCTTCCCTCAGGTAAGAAGAGTGTTAGTGTCAAGGTGAAGATTCCCACCCCAAGTGAGAATTGGTGACTACCTCTATGATTAATGCATCCTTTAGGGAAATACGAACGTTGGGATTTCCCCCGGCATCGAAGTGACTGAAAAACAGAGAACCTGTCATCAGAGACTGCCCCCTCCCCAGTTCCCAGAAGGGGGTTTGCTGCCCTGAGCCGTGGAACCTGAACTTCTGGATGGCTTTCGGGGAGGTACGAGGAAAGAACCGCCACAGCCTAAGCTACCAGACTCTGCCTAGACGCTTAGTAAGACTAATACGCTGAGTGTTCTCCGGGGCCTGGGTGATGTGAGATGCTTCCGGAACTGGGGAGAGAGATGAGTGATCTTCTCACTCACTTGTCAGTCCACTCATTCATTCACTCAATAGGCTCTAACTGTGGGCTTACTGCCTGTCAGGCGTGGTAACAAGCTCCGAGGGGCCCCCATGGAAAACAAGGCTTTGCCCTGCCATTCAGACGCTCCCAGGCCTGCAGGGCAGACGACAGAATTCTTCAAATGCTTCTAAAGAGGAAAATGAAAGGCCAGAGAGATGGGAGTTCTGGGGGGACTTTGAGCTGGGAAGCCTGTCCTCAGCTGGGCTGTCCCCCGGCAGGGGTGAGGGTAGAGGGACGTCAAGGCCAGTGGGGCAGGTGTCCCAGGAGGAACGTGGGGGGAGAGCACATGTGCACAGAGCTGGAAGTGAGCAGATGTGGGGTCTGAGCAGGAATGAGGGCCCCCCCCCCGCCGAGGTGCAAGGGGAGGAGGGAGGTACAGAGGAGAGGTGGGCAGATGCTAGGCTGGGAGAGCGAAGGGCAGAAGCAGGGGACATTTTAGAGAGGGAATGATATAATCATATTTGCATTTTAGAGAAGTCAATGTGTGGTAGGTGGGGGAAGGTGGGGTAGGTGGGGTGGATCTGGGGTGGGAAGGAGACGGCGGGTACAAGGCCCATTCAGGTGAGGGCCAAGGGGAGCCCCAGGAGGCACGTCTCAGCGGAGATGGATGTAGCCAGGTCCTCACATACCCCAGACCCCATCTCAGCCAGGCAGGCGTGCCCCCAGCCCCCGGAGGACAAAGAACACAGCTTCGTGCTGTTTCCCAAGAACTCTAGGAAGAAACAGGAAGAAAGCCGTGGGTTTCGCCAGCCCTGAGGCAACCTTACCCAACCCTGACCCAAGCGCCTCTGAAGTAAGGTCCAGAAGCCGCCTCAACTCCCTGCCCGCCTCACGGCTGTTGCTGAAAACTTACATTTTACAAAGCCCTGTGTCATGGCTTTTGACACTCCAATTACCAAAGTGACAACAGGACTGAAACAACTGGTTGCTCAAGTCCTGTTTTGCCTCTTAGAGTTCAGGCCTGAAACAGTCCTTGTACCCCAACACCCCACCCAGCTCCCTAGGATCAGACCCCAGCTCCCGTGGTCAAAGACCCCTTCTCATACACAGGAGACAGGGAAATGAGTGCTGGGGGTGCTGGCTGGCCTCTGAGTACCCCCCAGGCCTCCCCTTTTCTCTGAGAGTTCTCCCCTTTCTGCCCACGTACCCAGAATTGTCACGTGCAGCTTGTACAGTGAGGATGGGATGGTTACCAAGGCCAGAGGTGAGGAGGTGGCATCAGCGGGCATGGCAGGGGGACAGGATTCTGACCCGCGCGTGGGGCAGTCAGCCCCCCCTAGCTCCCCTCTCCCTGCCCCTCCCCCTTCCTTCTTGCTTGTCCCCTCTTTCCTCTCTACCCTTCCTACATTACATTCCCTCTCAGTCTCTTCCTCACCGGCTGCCCTGCGGTCTCGGTGGAAGGTCAGTCCCGACTAGCCGGGGTGCTTCGGGGTGGGGGGAGAATGCCTTTGAGAAATAGTTCGGGGTCACACCTAACCAGGGGTGGCTCCCCCAAGGGAAGACACTCAGCTTCCAAGGCACCTGGTTCTTAGGGAAGGAGAGAACTCACAACAGAAGGTAGTTGAAGGCTGAAGCTCTCGAGCCTACAGAAAAGAAGCAGGGAGGCCATGACACCTGCCTTCCAAGCTTGCCCCGGTCTGGGGAGAGGGGTCCCCTCCACAGCAAGGCCTCCCAAAGCCCAAAGCCATGGGCTGCCCCTCTGGGTCTGCCCCCCACCCCACTCCCACAGCATCTCACTCTCATTTTATGTCAGTTGTTCATCCCTTCAGTGACTCGATTCCACTGAAACAATGCTTAGCAAGACTTCATTCACGCAGCCCAGGCATGGAGGAGGCCATGGGCCCTGCCCTCCTGGAAAGCCAGACAGGAAAACAGGCCAAGGAATAAATAATAGATCATTTCAGGTGGGGATGAGTTCCGTGAAGAAGATGAAAAAGGAAGCCATGATAGAGTGACAGCAAGGTGAGGTGGAGAACCAGTCAGGGGCCTCCCTTGGGAGGTAACAACAAAAACGAGACCTGAGTGGCAGGAAGCCCTGGGAACCTCCTGGAGGGTCTTAATCTGACAAATGACATGATATGACTGATCTTGGAGGAGCTCATCCTGGGAGCCGTGTAGGGGAGGGACGGGAGGTCTAGAGCAGAAGCACGGGGACCAGTCAGGATAGGACACTGAGGCACGCTTGGTTGAGTCCAGTCTCTGGGTCCTCAAGGAGCCCTCAGTCTAATAGGGGCAAGAGACACCCAAGTGGATCTTTTCAATGTTATGTGTGAGAGAAAGAAAAGCAAAGGTGGGTGATGAGCGCAGACACCCTGGGGGCACCCAGGAGGCACTTTTCGCCTGTCTTCTTGGCTAGGATGGAGGCGGGGTAGAGAGGAGGAGGGGTGAGGAAATCGCCCTCAGTTTGAGGCCCAGTTGAGTTTGGAAAGTGCAAGCCTTGAATTCTGCGTGCCCAGCACTGGGTTAGGTAACGCGAGAAATCAGAGACACGCCGGAAGTCAGGTCTTTACAGCCTAGCGTGCTTTCTTTCAACGTGGAATACTTTTTATATTGGCCAAGCTAAAATGATGGGTCCTGGCCATTTTGTTGCACCAGGGGCTCCGGTAGCCGTTCCATTTCATCCAGACCCTTCTCTTGATCTCCAAAGCCCCATAACGCAAGTTGGCTTGGCTTGCGGTGTGCCAGCAGCCTGCCCCCAAGGTCTTTCTGAAGGGCAAGGTGGTGCACACATTGCACCCAAGAGAGTGACATCGGTGCCCCTTATCGCACGCTGCCACCCTTGCACAGAGGCTGGCTCTATCAGACCACAGGAGCCTGGCAGCATGACAGGCAAGTAGACCCCCGAGTCCCCAAGCTGAATACCACTCTGGATGGGAGGTGCAAATATGTGCAGGTGAGCGAGTGGGTGACCTCCCTGAGGAGGTGACATGTCAGCAGGGCCTTAGTGGACAGCAGGAGTTCCAGAACTAAAAAAAGGAGCCCAGCAGCCTGGGGCTTAGAGCAGGCTCCTAGGACTCATTACAATGTTTGTGATGAAGGGGAGAAGGCCCCTCAGCCAAAGAGAACAAGAGGACACCAGGTACAAATCCTAGAAGTCTGACCGTTCTCGGAGAAACTGGAGGACATTCTGGAACGACTGGAGGCTAAGAGCTCACGGCAGTGGACAGGAGGTGGGTGCTGGGACACCGGAGAAGACAGTTCCAGCCTCTGCGGTCCTATGGCGCTAACAGTCCTCATGTGCGTTGGCTTGTTTCATGGTACCTGCCGTCGCCAGGCGCTGAGCTGTGCTTTTTCATGGAGGGACTAGAGATCACCTCGGCCACACATTGCACTTTGCAGATGAAAAGGCTGAGGGGGTGGGAGTGGGGGGGCTGGGAGGCTAACCAAGCATATTCAATTTCAGGCTGAGGACTCTTTTCATTGCCCTTGGGTGCCTCTGACTGATGGATTTTAACCAAGTTCTGGGGAACCTTACAATTTTTCTAAATAGGATTTAAGTCCAGTTTGTGGTTCAGTTGGCCTTTTGAAACAGAATCACTGCTGGGGAATGTTTTCACGATAGCAAACACACCGAGTTTTGTTCTTGTCGGTTGGCTGTTGTTTTTTGCCAAGTGCTAATACAACCCTGGCCAACTTTAACTGTCCACTTGACCCCTAAAAATAACCTCAATCTTTGCTTTGATTGAAAACAATCTTCGCCTGAGGTGCCTGCAGCAGAGAGAGCAGCGGATTACCCCTCCTGTATAAATTCACATCTTACTGTTAATTCTGACATCAGCTGAGTGCTCACTCAGCACCAGGTGCTGTACTAAGTGCTTCAGATGCATGGTTAGGTTATCTAATCCTCACACTCACCTCAGTGCCTTAGCTTCTGTCTGCCAGGAACTCCTGGCCTTACTCCTCCCTTCCTTTCAGATTCCTGCGCGCACGCGTTTCCTGACCATCCTGTGTAAGCCAGCAGCCCTCCTCCCCAACCTTACTCCCCTGCTTTACCTCTCATCATATCCTATCATTGCCTACCTGTGTATCGTAGGCTATATTTTTATTTGTTTGTCTATTTATGTTCTAGCCCCTCCCCAGTAGAATGCCAACCCCAAAAGGGAAGATGTTTTGGTTCTTCAGTCTCTGGCTATATTCATAGATGCCCAGTGACTATTTGTGGAATGAATGAATGAATGCACAAGCAGGTGGTGAACAAATGAACACAGAGAAAGGGGCCTCAAGGGTCTAAATGAGGCTGTCAGAATAGCAGGGGTGGGCTGCGATCAAGGCTGGGGACCGTGGGCATGGAAAGCAAAAAAAGGGCAGACACTGTCAAGGACTGTTCAAGAATACATTTATTAACTCTCACTCCCCTCGGTGCTTCTTGGGGACATTGCTGGGGACAAGCCTCTCAGAGCTCTCTAATGATCGTGGATATTTTTATGGGCAGTCTCCAGCACTCGGGCCACCAGGGCTGTGAATTCATCAAATGTGACTTGTCCATCTCGATCAGCATCCAGTTCTTGGAATATTTTGTCAATGGTGGCTTGATCTTTGGTGTTCTAGGAGAAGAGGACAGCAGAGAGGGTGAGCGCGAATGGCCCCCTCCCAGCCCTTCCTCCAGGTCTCTCTCATCCCTCAGAGCTCAGCTCAGGGAGGCCCGGAAACATTCATGCATTAGCCAAAACTGTGCTGGAGAACCCAGCGTGACGAAACAGAAGACGGAGAGAAGCAACGGTCCTGGGCCATCCTACAAGGAAGCAGGCCTTGACCTGGAAGGTTCTCCATAGCTTGCCAATCCACCCCGTCCCCACCCTGCCTTTCTCCACTTCACTGAAGGGGAAACGATTCCAGAGGGAGGGAATGTGAAGAGCCCGAGGTGACAGAGAGAATTAGTGAGAGAGGGAGACTCAGCAGAGACGGGGCACCCCCACTGGGCTGAGCCCGCAGTGTCCCTCCATCATCCCTGGGACCCGGCCACTGCCCTCACCTTGATTGTGTTGGCCAGCTCCTTGGTGATCAGCAGCTTCAGCTCCCCCTTGGAGAGCGTGTCGAAATGCCCCACCCGAACTGAGTACTGGTGAAAGACATTGATGATCCCCTCCAGGTGTTCCTCCAGCTTAGTCATCATCCCAATGATGCGATCACCTTCAGGAGACAAGGACAGTTAGGGCAGGCCCCCCTCCACACACACCCCCACATCCATTCTCTCCTCTCTTCCTGCATCGCAGTTTAGACAAGGGGTGACTTCCCCCACATCTGCTTTGTGTCCTCTCTGCTCTGCGTTGGACCCATGGTAACCTTCTCACTTGTGGATTGGATGGAGGGAGAAGGACATATAACACCCTCTCACGCCGACAAGCATCAGCCTGGCAGTGTTCCATGTCCCCATCTCTCCTGGGGAGTATAATCCGGAGGCTGCTGCTTGCTCACGCTCACCTGGGAAGGGTTCTGTGCTCGCCCAGGCTGTTCCCTTTCCCCAGGTGACAGTACACTGGCCACCGGTCCCTTACAGATACTCACCAGCCCACCCACCTCTGCCATCCCTAAGTCCTGAAACTGGGTCTACCTAGCACAGCAAGAGCTAGTCTCCTTGACTCCAAAATGCAGTCAGCCCTTCACTTCGTAAGGTAGATAAATTTCTGATCACTATGTGGTGTGCCTGAAACTAATACAATATTGTAGGTCAACTGTAATCGAAAAATAAAAAATTTTTAAATTTTTTAAAATGCAGTCAGTCCAGAGGAGCTCTGGCAAGTTGAGGGTGGTAGCTTTTCTAATAGCCTGCACTGGGGCCACCTGCCATCGCCACACTCTGGACCCCCTGAGGACCCAGCCAAGGGGAGGACACTTACCCTCAAGGCACAGGAGCAAGGAGCTGACAAGAAGCGGCAGTGGTGAGGAGCTCTGAGCCTGGGAGGTTTTATAGGGCGCTCAGTCTTCACCTTTGACCTCAAATGAGGAAACCTTTGTGATTCACTGTCTTGATGCAATTGTTAGACCAGGATCTGTTGCTCAAAAGAAGCTTCAAACTTGTGGCTTTGACCGCAACACGAGAAGCTCAGATTGCACCCATTGCGCCCCACTGCTCAGCCTGAAACAGAGCCCCACCACCACACCCCACCCACCCACACGCAGGGGCTCCACATGTTTCTCACCTCCGGGGCAGGGCCCAGCCTCCGGGTCTAGCTCTACGCCTGCTTCCTAAAAAAAGGCTGGAGAAACAAGTTTCACGGCCAGGATGGTTCCTGCCTGGAAATGAACGGTTGGGATAGACATTTACCAAATGTCTGTTACAGCAAAAATAACGATGGTAAGAAAACGCAGTCAAGGTGAACATGTACTCCTGGAACAGAAAAGGGACAATGATTTAAAACTAAGGAAATCTGAATAAAGTACAGAATTTAGTTAGTAATCCTGTACCAGGAGCGATCTGTTAATTGTAATAAATGTACTGTACAAACGTGAGGTATTCGTAATGGGGAAACTGTGTGCAGGTGTGTACAAGCCTCCTGTATTACCTTCTCAATGTGTCCCTAAATCTAAAACTGTTCTAAAAAATAAAGTCTACGTGCTTTTAAAAGTGGGGGTGTACCACGCACTCCCCACATGCCACACGCTGCATTGCACAAACCCTCATGTAATTCTCCGGACAGCCCCCATGGGCGAGTGCTCACCGTACACTCATCTGCAGATGAAGAAAATGCGTTCCGGGAGGTTAAGTAACTTTTCTAAGTGCCAAACCCTAATTTGCCTGCTTTCAAAACCTTTGCTGTTGCTGTCACTTTTCCCCTAAAATAAGAATAGGGGGTGTTGTTGTTGTTGTTGTTGTTGCTGCTGCTGCTGCTGCTAAAAATAATGCATGTTCATACTTTTTGTAAAAAAAAATAATAAAATAAAATAAACCATAATTTTGGGTCGATGTAGACAACCTTATATCAGACCCTGAATTTTTTCTTCCAGTAGTGTCCCTAATGCAGTTAATTCTTGCTTGGTTTTTTAGATTCTTTCATTGTTGCACCTCCATTCTCCCCGCCCCCCAACCCCGCCCCACCACCACCCCCAATCATTGTGTTGGAAGCCCGGTGCAAGGCTCAGGGACAGAGAAACACAAATTCTGTAGCTGCCTTCTTGGAACTTGGGGTAGGATGGGTTCAGGCACCTTCTAAATCATAACAGCAGGGGTTTACCGCTCATGGCCGAGGCGGGGAGTCTGACTGCCAGTCAGGCCAAGGCTAGCACCCCAGGTTCCACATGGGGGTGGGGTCGTATGCAAGGCTGCTCTGCAGGCCACAATGGGAAGCTGTAGGGGGGCGAGGGGGCTAGCTCTATGCTCTTGGGCAAGCCCTTGACCTCCATGATCCTGTTTCTTCATGTGTGTGGTCACCTCACTGGCCTCGTTTAGTTCCCAGAGTTGTTATGAGCCTCAACTGGGAGACCACGTGAGAAAGTGCTTGAAAACAGTCAAGAGTGAGGTTGAAATTTGTTTTTCTTTTGCGCTTACCCACCCAGCATGGATGTGGGTCTTTCAGCCCAGAGCTAGCCTCCCAGGGGCCTGGCCACTGGCCACTGGGGGCCTCCTAAAGGGATAAAGAGACTTTTCTCTTTTGTGTGTGGTGGAGGGGCCTACACTCCCGCCTTCCCTCCAGGAAGCTCTCCCCGCCCCACCCCTACCCAGCACCAGCCCAGCATCGGTGCCACCCAGCAAGGCCTTCAGGGAGACAAGGAGTCGACATGCAGCAGGTGCCTGGCACAGTTCCTGGCACACCGAATAATGTCACTTGCTTTACCTTGCTCTCTCATCCCACCCCAGTGAGAAGGTAGGCTTGATCGGCCCCAAGGGGAAAGGCCAAGCTGGAGATGCTCCCTCCTGGTCCATGGCTGAGTGTCCTGCTGCTGTCCTTGGTGCTTCCAAGCAGGTTCCTGAGACTTGTGGCCTCCTGGCTGTCCCTTGGTCTGGTCCCTCCTCCCCTACTCACAGGACCCCCCTCTAGGCCAGGACTGACGCTCAGGGCGGCCAAGGAGGATGGAAGTATGGGAAACCCTTCTGTTGACGGTTGGACATAGATGATGCTACCATGGTGAATACACGCCATGACGCATTTGTCAAAACCCACGGAATGTACAGTGCAAAGAGTGAACGGAATGCGGACTGTGGACTTTAGTTAATAATAAAGTATTAGTGTTGGTTCATCAGTCATAACAGATGGATCACACTAACGCCAGAAGTTAATGACAGGAACTGGGGCAGGGAGGGCCAAGGGGGTACATGGGAACTCTGTACTTGCTGCGCAGTTTTTTGGCAAACCTATAACTTCCTCTAAAACATTGCTCTAGTACTATTACTCTATTTTAAAAAAATACTGCTGCATCTAAAGGTACTATGTACAAATATTATAGAAATAG